TTTCTTGACGAGCGATTGCTTTTTCCCATGATGAAATCCAATGAGACAAGTGGCAAACAGAGGGAACAACACACGTCCACCTTGGTGAGCAACAAGAAAGAGAATGACAGTAGTGGGATGTCACGTGACCATCTGAGCGCTGAGCACGCTAAATTACAGAGATGATTGACAGGTCCAGCAATCGGAGTGGCGGGAGAGGTCAGGTGGGGCAGAGGCAGAAGATTTGATCCAACTTAGCCTACAGCATTTTTCCACACCTTGGTTGAAGATGAGTGAGAAGTGCATACCATGAGATAGGATAAGTTTAAAAATGTATACAAACCTGTAGAGGTTATGAATTCTTTGAAGAAAGTCCTCCTTTGGGTACATATAAGCATTAAAATGTCCATTTTAAATCCCACGACAGTTGTAACTATATTTTTCAATAAAATATTTACAAAACAAAAAACTCATTTTGTCTTGTGAGACCACCCCTATAGGGCCCCACTGGACCCCCCCTACAGCCAAGAGCAGGTAACTCTCGCCGTCTACCTCGTACCTCACTTTTCATGCTGAACGTATCAGACAGAATGAGGAGAGGCGGGTGGCCGTACCCCAAGGAGGACTTTCTTCAAAGAATTCATAACATCTACAGGTTTGTATAATTCTTTTTCAGAAGAAGTCCTCCTTGGGGTACATATAAGCATAAGACAGACTCCCAAAGATATTTGAGGCGGGAGTGGCATTTTGTCTGGCAACAACTAAACCCATGGTGGAGTGAAATCTACAACAGATATAGAAAAACATACTTACCGAGCCACCTGACCGCTGATGTCAATCAGGCGGGGCGCATAAAAATAGAGAGCCCAAGCTTATACGTCAATTGGCTCAAATCAATTATGACATAAAACCCCACCCCAACCATTATAATGGAAAGGAACGTAAGGGGACATGCTGAAACAACTCCCAACCTTAATATCCCGAACCCGAGAAGCGTGGCGAGAGGTATAAGGGTAGAGAAAGCGTAAAATACACTTAAAAGCCAATAACCCAGGAGTCGAGCTAATAAGTACTGCAAACTAATGCTCGAATGCACCTCTCCAGTTTGGAAGAGGGCTTGCCGGGACCTCGATAAAACCCAGAGAAATTATTAGCCTCGCTAAAGATTTTCTGAGGAAATCAAATGAGTACAAAAGCAATGCATTGTATGAGTAAAAACCAGGATAAAACACCCCCACCAAACGCCCAAAGTGCTGATTAACACAGACTCCCAAATACCGAAAACTGTTAGCGTACAAAAATCCCCTGAATAGCGAAAAGTGTAGCCGAACATGTGTTGGCTCACTATTACACTAACCTGGTCACGTGACATGCGGCTCGAAGAGAGGCATACTAAACAGTGACCCGTAGGGGGTTCGTACGCAATTCCGTCGCAAGACGGGTTAATAGCATATGACTGGTTATAGCGTTCAAAATCTGCCCCGCCTCTCTTGCCTTTTAAGTGAAGAGGACGATCTCTTCAAGGGACGTGTATTGTCAACAAGTACACCCAAACTCCCCAGTCTTCCATTGTAACCGAACAATTACGAAACAACCAAACAGAACACATGGGTACCCGTACAGATCCCTTTAGTTCGTTCGTTATAGTCACTCCAATGGGTGAGCAATCGAAAGATCGGTCCCCGGTGTGGAAAGCTGGGTAAGGGTTGAAAGTTCAATATGAGCAGTCACATGGAAAGCAATATCGAACTGAGAGTGGTAGGTATCCGGGAGGCAAATACGGACATGATCAGTATAAATACTGTCAGTGTCGGGTCAGTGGGTATCGCATGGATGTACCCGACCCTTCTACCAGAGCTCACCACCACAAGTAAAGCCATCTTCCACGTCAACAAGTGAAGTGAGAGAGACGATATAATTGGCAATTTCAAAGTGGGCTGGGTCGCCGCCGAGGCCGCGAACCCTGTTCATGCCAGCTATGAAGCGCTGTACGAGAGGGTGCTGCCTAGGCAGAGCACCATCGAACAAGGTGTGAAACGTGGAAATAGCCATGGTGTACCCGGGAATGGTGGAGGTCATAAGGCTCTTAACCAAACGAGGTTATAGTAACTCCAATATCCAAACTAAATCCGCAGAATAGGGATTATGAAATCCACCTATCTGCACACCAGCGCGCCCCACCTATCAACACACTAAACGGGTGTCGAATCCCGCCTCGAAGCCAGAACTGTGTCTGCCACGGCTGCAGGAATTCCGCGGTTCTGGGGGTTAGACCTGACAGAGACCAAGCCACCCAGTGAATCCGAGGATTCGGGTGTGGCACCCCGTTCAGAGTGAGAATGTCTGGCCGAAAAGGTAATTGGAATCCCGGCGTGCAGGATCTAACACCAACCTAACTGTTGTCAATTCGAGCACATTGATGTGCAGGTTGTGACTAAGTCGTCAAGAGACCGTAGGTCACCCAGAACATCGCCCCAACCCAGGAGGGATGTATCTGGCTGGACTGAGAGCGACGGTGTTACTAGGCGGAGCCCCTTGGAGAGACGCCTGACGTCTGTCCATCTGACTGCGTGGGGTTGACAATTCGGCCAAGTTTCGTAAGAGTGACCAACACTGATCGTGAGGTTCACAGACTCAACTGTTATTCAAAAACCCTGATGAGCCAGTCGCCTAGGTACGGGTGACAACACCGGCACTGCGATCTGGCTATCTCGGCTATAATAAACCTCAATTTGGTGAACACCCTTGGCGCCATAATGTAGCCTAAGGGGAGCACACGAAACTGGTAGCACGTCCCGTCGAAGAAGAACCGAAGGTAAATCTTGAAATCAGGGTGCAATGGATCAAGGAGGTCACGACCCTCGAGGTCGATTGACATGCGCCAATCCCCTGTCTCGACAGATGAGATCACCGAGCGCTGTGTCTCCATCTTGAAGGACAGTACTTCTATTAACTTGTTCAGCTCTCAGATGAGAATGGGTCTGAACATTCGGTTCTTAATGGCAACAAGGAAATAAATGGAGTCAAACCCCACATTTTCCTGACCACTGGAAACCACCTCGATGGTTGCCTTGCCCAGCAGAGACTGGATCTCGGCACGGAGTATTTTCGCCGTCTCCCGGGAAGCGGAAACTGGCATGTCACACTTCTACCGGGGTCTGTGGCAGAATACAGTAAACCCCTGCAGTCGGCAACATAACGTTTGCCGGTGCCTGGGCACCTGAGGGATTAATGAGAAGCTCGACATCATTTGGCTGGCACAGCTACAATGCAGTCCCTAGCCAGATGAGAGTTGACCTCCGTCAGATGCTGCCCAGAGTCGCCGGCGCTCTTTCCCCTTTCCACCAGCTCTCTCAGCTCTGCCAAGTGGAGCATACAGCGTTGAGCTGTTAAGAGGAAAGAACGACAGACTGACGGTAGAGTGTGAGGCCTTGTCCCGGATGCCTTGCTCGCCTCTGGCTTGCGGGCGAGTGTAAAGATCGAACCCTGAGCTCCGTCACACTCAACAGCCTCCTGGCCTGGGCGTCGATAGACATCAGGCCGAGACCTGAGCTACCAGCGCCGGGGATCTGCGCAGTACCGGGACAGAAGGCCGGGTCGGTGCTAGTCCCCAGGTTCAGAGTGTCCATGGAGCCGGAGCTCGGGTCCGATCGTCCGCGGGAGGTCGGACCCTTCCCGGAGCCGGAGCTTGGGTCTGGACCTCCCCCAAATGATGCGCTGGTGTAATCTCTACCCGCGTACACCGGGTACCAATCTCCTCTCGGAGTCTGGAAACCACGTCTGAGATAAGAGCGTGCACCGACGATCTCCGCTGCTGCTATAAGTAAGAAATCAATTGTTAGTGTAGCAACATTGTTTGTGGGGGAGGAGTAGGCAAGGGGACGATAAAGGGATTTCCTTAGAAACCTGTCATCAAAAATTATCCCCCGTCTGAAGCAGTGAAAAACATAAAATCTGCGTGCCTGAAAGAATGCGCGGGAGGCGCAGAAACCCAGGCAAAAAACACAACCTCGGCCACTATGAGCCACGTTGTGTGTAAACGTATGAAATGTGTATATGTATAACATAACACAATGTAACAGGAATATTGACGCAAGGGCGCTTATTATGAACATCCTTGATCGTCGTGAGCATCCTCGGCTAAACCCCGGGAGCCACACCTTATGACCATCCTGTGGCGGTAGTGTGCACGGCACAACGCACAGGGCTTAAACTGCAACAAACAGAACCACGCCAGTATTACTAGCAGGAACTGTGGAGCAGCAAACATATAAACACAAGTAAATAGCAATAAATATAACGCACAGGCAATATTTAAATGCTACAAGCTACAGCCATTTAAATACTAAACATACAATGCAAAGCAGAAAAAAGGGTAGCTGCACCTGCGTGTACATACTTGTGAGTAAACACTCGAACGAACACTCTTATTTATCAAAATTACTCAACAAACACTTACCACAAAAGAGAGGGAATATAGGCAAGCCTACCATATAATATGCAAACATAATATATGAACTCCCTACTACAAGCTACCAAGAACATGTAGCAAGGAAACCATGATCACGCAGTCCGCCATTTTGCCTGCCACAAGGCTGGAAAACAGAGAACCCACGGCAAAGTTACAACAAAAGATGAATGAGAATATCAACATATGACGTCCATCTAACGCCCGTGTGTAAAGAAAGGAACCATACATACAGATTGAGACTCTTATACACTCATCGTGATCGGTAGGAGAGCAAAGTCGAAACGAACACCACGCACGTCAATTCAACAGAACGACAACATGAAAAGTGAGGTACAAGGTAGACGGCAAGAGTTACCTGCTCTTGGCTTTAGGGAGGTCCTGTGGGGCCCTGTAGGGTGGTCTCACAAGACAAAACGAGTTTTTTGTTTTGTAAATATTTTATTGAAAAATATAGTTACAACTGTCATGGGATTTAAAATGGACATTTTAATGCTTATATGTACCCCAAGGAGGATTTCTTCTGAAAAAGAATACAAACATTTGTATTTACCATTTCTCTTCATTTGTTTTTCTCGAATAGCTTTCCTCAGGAATTCAGACGATGTTGTTGCCGACACTGCCTTGGCTTCTTTCAGCAACTTGTCCTTAATCTGAGGATGTAATCAGTGTGAAACAGTACACATTAGGAAGTAGTATTGTACCGATTCCACTTCAGACAGACAGAGCATGCTCCCTACCTCAGACAGCTCCTGTTCCGTCATCTTGGTTCCGGGGGCTGGCAGCTGAGACGTAATCTTCCCATGAGGCAACAGGGTCATTCCTGCAGCATCTGCTTTGTCTCGGGCGTTCTTTGCCAGGAACTCTTTGGTCTAGAAAACATAGAGACCTTTATTTCCAGTGTTAAGTCACCTCCATCAACCACAACATATCAGAAGAACCAAAACTTTCCACAGAAGCTCAAAATGGACATTTAATCTCTGGCATGATCTAGCAATGTTTATAGCAATGTGATAATTGTTCATCATCCTCATCATTGGGTCGAATACTGAGCAGATTGGGAGATCTAACAATCATGCTTTGAAGGAAGTCATTCTTTGCTATTCTGACAGTTTTACCATGTAATATTTCATGACATCTTGGAGATCCTACCTGTTCTTCTTCGCACAACTTGGCAAAGAAATACACAAGTGCATCCAGATCTCGAACACTGCAACAACAGAGAATTCACTAATAGTATTGACATGTTTCACAAAGATGTTATCCCATTATGTTGCCATGCATGCAATGACTATAAAGGAGATCTCATTAGCCTTACTAATTACAGTGAAAAGTGAGTTTTTTGCCGCTTTTAGCAATATTCCAGCAATATCACGGCAGGGGACACCAGAAATGGGCTTCACACATTGTACCCATGTGGGGAATCGAACCTGGGCCTTCAAGCGTGACGAGCGAACGCTTTAACCACTAGGCTACCCCACCGAACCACACTTTGAACATATTGCACACACAAAGTAACATCAAACCTTGGTTAGCTTTGGTGATGTTAAGACAGAATCTTCACCATATACAATAAAACTCTTCTAACTTACTTTCTTGACTTCATGTCGTCATATTTCGCAAAGAACTCGATGGGAGTTTGTGTTGACTCTGCAATCTTCCTCTTTGCATGATGCGCTGAAACCTGTCACAAATACACTTCATGTGAATTCCATTCGTACAGCAGTCATAAAACAAGAGAAATAGCCTTTCATTGTAATGAAGGATAGTACTATACAGTATTGAGTATCAAACCTGTGTTGTGATGTAGGGTGTAGTATTCTTCAGCAGCATCTCTGTGTAGACCTCAGCACCCACAGAGTCAGTGGAACGAACCCTGGAACCGTACGAGAGTCACAATATCATGTTGACAAAGTCATGTAACTTCACTGATGCAGGTGTGTGGTATGGGAATATCTCTGTACTGAATCATAACTGAATACATCAGGAAGCCCTTGCTGTCTGTACAATAGTAATATGGAAGCAATATTTACAGAAACCTAAGAAACCTGATTTTTTCAACTAGGTAAGAGTACTGGGCATAGGCGGATCCAGGAATTTTCAATGCAAAACATTAATTTCAATGTGGTCTTCAGTCATTTTCTAAAGGCAGGTGTTTGAACCCCTGACCCCCCCACCCCTCCCTCGGATCCGCTAATGCTGGGACTGATTCTGTGCTTCCATCCACCTTACCACAGACAGTCTCTCCCATAGGTGAATGAAAAAGGATTTGTCTAACATTTTGCAATATTTCAGCATATGGAAATCATAACTTTTAAGGTAATCAAAAGTGGATCTTAGTTGTGACAAGGAAACACTTAACCACTCACCCCCATGTCCACAACTAGAAACAATGGTATCTAGCTAACTTCATACTTTAACTGGGAAGAGAAGAAAAACTCACCCTAGGAGGTTCATCAATTCGCTGACATGGTGGTGCACCTTGAACTCACTCATCGTGGGGAAATTAAATGTTGACCTTCACTTTACCACAACTACACTGTGACAACTAAGGACAGAAAACAGAGCACATTCATATCGTCACAGAGAAGGGTCGAGTTGACATCGTTGAATACTGACTGACTGACTGACTGAGTTTGGTTTTACGCCGCTTTTAGCAATATTCCAGCAACATCACGGCGGGGGACACGAGAAATGGGCTTCACACCGTTGAATACTACCATCCTATAGTTCATATGAATAAACTCGTATTCCAGGCAAGGCCTACGTCGAGCACACCTTGGCAAAGTGCAAAGTCGTCTAGTTATATGCTGGACTATACCATCCTACAGCTCTCCCGGCGAGAGGCTTGTCATAAAATATAATTTGGAATATTTGTCATAAAGTCTTAATAGATCTAAATAGTTTCATGAAATTATAAACAATATGTGAAAAAAAGTATTTCGGGTACAGCGCACACGCTGTCATTGGAGCGATGCTCGAGATTTGTGGAATATTTCGGGAAATGAAAAAATGATAAGTTATGATCGAAAATGGGACAATATTTTGAATGGTACTTGTGCAATGTGCTGTAAGATTTTGCGAAAAGATCAATTCAAAACAAAGTGTCTCTTCAGAAAAAAATACGATAATTGGGACCGAACGCAAAAAAATATGAACTAATGTATTACTGTGGTATTTGAGATCATCACTTGTATTTGAGATCATCGCTTCTGTTTGTCAAACTTAGTTTTCCTTCCCGCGTTTCCGGCACAATGTTTCATCCCGTTAACAGTAAAATCCGGAAAGTCCGTATGCGGAAGGCACCACCCGAGATTATTCATTCATTCGTTAGTAAACATTTGACAGTGGATAGACAATTGCGCACACGTTGTTCTGTGGCACATATTATAGTACACAGTATATTTACGACGATGTCATATAAATTGATCACACGAATCTCGCCAAGGCTCTGCTGCTCACCTTCAATATAGATCAACAAACATGTTTGTTCTTTTTTGTGTGGCCATTTTGACTAGGGTCAGTGTGGCCATTTTTGTTGTGTGGCCATTTTGACCTGTTCCCCTTTATATCCCGTCTCAATCATATTGAGAATACTAATGACGAATGCATAAAAACACCTTTCCTATGGTCATTTAATGCATTGTCCGGTTAATAATTTTCTGAACGTACAGTGTATATATATATCACTTTACATGTAAAACTGTCACCACAGACTTATCATCCAAGATAATAGGAAGGCCGAAGGAAATCCACTTACATTTGGCGTTATGTGATAGTGCTGTGGACGTTTTACATGTACAGATACATGCCATAGGAACAGCTACACCCCTCGCAGGGTTTGTTCCATTAAGGGAGTGAGAGAGAGAGAGAGAGTTGGTCTGTTGGGAATATTTTTGTCATGACTGACGCTCGTGTGTGTGTGTGTGTGTTGGATGTGAACATTACGTAAACACAATAGCAGAAGGTCTGCACATGGCTGCAGATAGCACCTGCTTTTAATTGGTCTACAATCCTCTTTCCAAGAGCTCCAAGAGAGGATTCCAGAATCTATATGTCAACATATGAGAAATGGGGAAATAATTAGTCAAAGGCTTTGTCGACTATAATGCCCCTGGGCAAAATGGGATGCACAATTTATCCAACTTTTGATATTGTAACGGGGGCTAAATCATACACCCGCCCTCCTTCAGTAATTACCCTCCGACCCCTTTGCCTAGTCTTAAAAAACTGCGAAAAACAAAATTCACCAACTCTCTAAAGAATTAATTAGAGCACATGTTCCACAATGTGTTGAGCTACAGGTTCCATAGTCAGTCCTACTATCTTCTGGTGTCCCCCGCCGTGACATTGCTGGAATATTGCTAAAAGCGGCGTAAAACCATACTCACTCAGTCCTCCAATCCCCGCACCATAATTGATTATATATCAGTCTTGTCTGGAATGCAAAGCCCTAATTAAGCCAGAGTTTCCTCGGGCTCTGCATCCCCTGACTCATTTGGGCTCCATAGAGCTATTTATTTCTATTGAAACCAATATGTTTTTCAGTGGCCATGCATTTGTCTCCACAGATTCTTGTGGCCCCGTCTGGTAGATATGATCCCGATTTCAGATTTATCCTAAGCTTTTCACTTTCTAATGTGAAACAAAATCTGGTCACGTAATCTGATGATAAAACAATTGGAGTTAGTAAAGATCTAACTAGGCATATTTTGTTGTAGAATAGATAAAAGGAGTGTGACTTGGCTTTAGATATGTATTTATAATACATAAAACCACGAGAACGCGATCGCGCATTATAACAGTAGTACCAGTTAAAAAGTATATCTCGTGAGATTGTACGAGACGTTCGTTTCGAGTGTAAACATGTCGGATTAAGGTTAACAACTGAACTGTCATCACAGTATTAATTCAAACTTTGTTTCAGCGAATGGACTTTCAAGCTGCATGATTTCGATATACGGTAAGGGTATATTCCTAGATCTTCTTTCCTTTAACTACACACATGACTCATCATACCAAGATAATAGGAAGGCCGAAGGAAATCGACTTACATTTGGCGGGTACCTTTCAGATGTACACTATTTGTTCAGGTCTGTGTACTCACAGTTCCATAACTTGTTTATTATCATTATTACCTTTGTCATACTTTTTATGCGGCGTATGACTTCCCCTTTACAGGAAACACGATAGATCTAGGCCCATATATGAGTATAAATATTTCCTTGGGAAAAGAAATTCACAAGTACAAATTGACTCTGACATTTTCTTTTACACTATTGCCTCATAGCAGAAGCTAGGCCATGCAGGTGATGTTTTCACAGCAAGAAGCAACAGTGTTTATTTACACAGTGATACATTATTAATGTTTGACATGAAGCAGGAAGTGCTGTGTTGTTATCACGATAACGTTTAAATCTGGATCTGTTCCTGACAGAAAATGCTAGCAGATATTGTAAACTTGATTACTTGATTTGGATGTGCTGTGAATTATTGTCAAAACTGTTTTCAGGTCAGATGGCATTTTATCATTGTGGAAGCCTTTTTGTCTTTTCCAGAACCTACAATGTAAGCATAAGCATTGTTAATGTACCAGCAGAAAATGGATGGGGTGTATTCCAGTGACAAATCTATAAACTAACCTGACTTAGCCGTGTACATCAGCTGTGAAGATGATGGTCAGTCGGTACCAACCGATCCTGTACCTGCAGTACCTGCTGCTGTTGGTGGATCTGGTTCTCAACTCCTTCACAGAGATGCTCAGATTTGAGAATGTAATCCTGCTCATCATGTTTGTGTGAGTGGAAGTAATATCTTTTGAAACTATTAGTGGTTAGTTGAGTTGAATAATATGTATTTATATAAATCAAGTTATATATATCCATTGTATCGTATCAATAAAATGTCTCTGGTGCAGAATGTTCAACATTAAAAAATGATGTGATATTGTCACCAGAACTTAATTGTATCTGTATCATGTCAACATCAAGAAAACATAACAGGAACATCTGTTGTTTCTTGATACAAGATCATCGTAGCAGTGGAGTATTCCAACTCCACAGAGGCATGGATGGGCAGGGGTCTGATGCATACCACAAAGTTCAGTGCAGAGATGTGTCATCTAACCATGATGAGATCATCCGATCAAGCCCCAGAATCCCTGCGTGTTTTGTTTGTCATCACAAGTCTCACACTGGTGGTTTTCGCCAAAATCAGTAACCTGCAACATTTACGGCTTCCCTCCTAAATCACTGACGTGCTGCAATATAACTTAATAACAGTTAAAATATTTAAATGTTCTTTGTCCAAACTCATCTCTCTTTTCATTATTCCAGTATTCAAGACATCTGCATCCTGTTCGCGGTTATTGTGGTATTCCTCTTGTTCTTCAATACATACATCTTCCAAGCAGGCCTTGTGAATATCCTAGTCAACAAGTTTCGTTTGCCTATCTGCGTGACCTTCATCTACTTCATGCTGAATGTAGGGCTGCATGTCTGGGGAATGGTGAGACTCTACAGTTTTAAAACATTGATCAACGTATTAATCTAATGTCATGGATCTGTTAACATATGTTACATAACAAGGCGACTTGCTCTCTTGAAGTGTTTTATGTTAGGAAATGTTCACATAGCTATTTCATAGAAAAATGTAGGTGAAATATTGCTGTTGTGGCTTAACCCGTTCTCTTACCATTTCAATATGATAAACTTGTCAAGTTTTTAAACAAAACTGTAACGTAATGTGTTTGATACCATCTAAACATTATGAAGTAATACACATGAGGTCTCTATGATTTACATTTGATTGTTTGTGTGTTTTGAAAGGTGATTGTATTAAGCATGAAAAGTTAAAAAGCATGTTTTAAACCAGCATGGCATGAATTGCATTTGACACATTTGTATTCATATTTGCTGCATGTCATGTATATATAACATGTATGATGCCTATTTCAAGAGAGGTGTGCTGTTAACTTGTAGAATCGAAAAGCAAGATAAAGATTTCCATATGATAATGCTGAACATTTAGTCAATAGATCTTTCCCTCTGTAGAAACTAAGAGCTAAATTACTGGTAGAAAGTTAATGTGTAGTGTTCCAGTATCTTTTTGACATTTCCTATTATATGCTCGTAATGTTGGCTTGGTTTTGAATGACCTTCCTGCAACATAGACAACATTGTATCACACACACAGTAGAGCTGCAACAAATACTCAGTGAGGTGAATACAATCATTTTTATTCATATCACAAATACAGGGTGATAATTACAAATAGTTTTCACGAATAGCATAACACTTAACTAGCTGATGTTTTATTCATTATATTCAGTCAAATGATAACAAAATCAATTATTTGATATATTTTGACCATGTTGACAGTATTAATTTCATGTTGACAGTGTTAATTTGTGACAAAAAAGAGCAGTGACCACTTAACTCTCACATGAAATACATTACTGTTGACGTTATCCTGACTGGTTTTGGATACGTTCCAATTTGCATATCTCACTTTGATAAATAACAGACAAGTTCAAGTGGAAAACACTCTTTGAAAAACAACTATGAATATTCGATTCTAGTGATTGCAAATAACCAATTGAATTCATGAAAAATTTGATTCACCAAATATGCACGTGAATCGTAACAGCCCTAACATACGTATCAACATCATTACTGTAATCATACAACTTGGACATCATTGTATCAAACATACAACTTGGACATCATTGTATCAAACATACAACTTGGACATCATTGTATCAAACATACAACTTGGACATCATTGTATCAAACATACAACTTGGACATCATTGTATCAAACATACAACTTGGACATCATTGTACATTACGTATGGATGTCAACATCTCACAGCTACTTGTTGTATTTGTGTAGGGGGTGTCATGGGTGTTACAATGTACTGTACAGAGTTGCATCTCTTTGCATGACAGGATCTGCTGATCATTGGTTTGAATCCCACATTTAGCATGATTGTGATCTATGGGTTGTCCCATGCTCTAATTACTGTGTCTTTCACCAAAATAGTCATGTGTCTATGCTGTGTGTGTTTGGACTTTGGACCGTGTAATACTGACATGCTGTCTTACTGAAACACAGTTTAATGCGGCATTAACCAGATGTTTCTCAGTCTTCACGCGTAAAAAGGTCTTGTTATTGAATATGACTAATAAATGATTCTTTTGTTTATATTTGACGACATTTTTGCATCCATGTATTTCATATCAGTGTTATATTGCACCTTTTAAGCAACTTTAAGACATTGACTTCTCTTGCTTATTTTGTTGATATCTTATCCTTATCAACGTGGTCAATTTTAGTATTTCAAGTAACAATGCAGTTACAAATTAAATGTTTAAGTGATAAACAGTCCGATATAGAAAGATCTTAAAAACATGACATGGTTTGTTTGGAAAATTATTAAATAAAGCAGACAACATAATTATTATTAAAATATCATTGTCGATAGAAATGGAGTAATGTTTTTGCATTACGTCTAGTCATGTTCAAGAATATATATATATCTCTATGATAATGTCAAGATTAATGGACTAGGAATATAGATACATAGCCCAAATGTTTTTTGTGATTTGTAGGTATTGTTTGACTCCCAGGTATGGCTCCAAGTGAAACAAACCCTTTCAATGCAGCTTTAAATCAGTTTCTGTCTCATATGTATATCACTTTTTTCTTTCATTGATTACGTTGTCAGACAAGAATCACAACTGAAATATTGTCAATAATTCACTTCATACACTTTTCTCACTATGTGTATCATTGGGAAGTGAAAGTGATAATGACATCAAATAGCATTAATTTTTAAACTTATCCTATCTCACGACTTGCACCTCTCTCTCTTGCTTCGACTTTTAATGGAACGACTGTAAACTTTTTGCCATAGGCCTCCTTGTCCATTCGCCCGTGCACTCCATGCTGCTCTCCTTAATTAGCTTCCTAGTTCCTAATAAAGCTTGCAGCATGCTCCACTAATTGCCCACGTGACTACCTATCATTCTCTTTCTTGTCGCACGAATGTGTGGTTCAAGAGGATTTTATGGACGCTTCATCAGATTCTTACTTATCTGAGCACGTCCGGCACCTATTACGTACGCATCAATCACCTCCTTCCATAGCGTCAGATCACTCGCGGGTGGTTGTGATTGACAATTCTTCGTTGCCTGTCCCATCTACACTACCATGGGACCTTAGATCGACACTATCATAATCCAGATCATCGGTACATATCCCCTCGACTGTCTCAGTTTGTTTGGAGCCTGGCCAACCGTGTTCAACCAGCCAACTGTCTCCCCACAGTTCATTGAACCGGACGGAGCTGGCTACAACAACGTCGCCGGGGGACGTTCATCATGAATCTACACTTTGGGTTTCGTCACCTAATCGCCGATCCAGATCACCACATCAGGTCAAGATCATCCAGATCACCGTGCCGATCAAGAAACACTGGATCGATCCAGATCACAGTCACGATCCAGAGCACAACTACGATCCACATCACCTGATCAATCCAGATCACCTAACCGATCCAGATCATCAAACGGGTCCAGATCACAACGTTGAAGTAGATCGCCAGACCGATCACCGAATGGATCCAGATCACAACTTCGATTCAGATCACCGGACCGATCTAGATCACCTAACCGATCCAGATCACAACAATCATCATCCGGATCAGAACATCGAAGTAGATCGCCGAACCGATCCAGATCACAACATCAAAGTAGCCCCCCAATCAAGCCAGATCGCAACTGCAAACCAGATCACCTGTTCGATCCAGATCACCTTATAGATCCAGATCACGATCACAGTTTCCAGTTAGTGCATCAAATCGATCCAGATCACTTTACAAATCCAGATCATCTTACCAACCCAGGTCACCAATACGATCTAGATAACCTTACAGAGCCATTGACCAATTGGAATCACAGTACAGATCCACATCTCATGGCCGATCCTATTCAAATGGTCAAACCAGAGCTCCAATCAGAACCAGATCACGAACTAGAACTACAGCAACCCGGACTAGTTCTTCATATCATACCGGATCACCTAGCCATACTAGGGAATCCAGATCACCGGCTTACCAACCTACTTCGGTACTTACCACGTCGAGATCTCAATACAGTTCCTCTGATCGACGTTTGGGTGATCATTGCTCTGATACCACTAATAGGCCTACAGTCTCTTACGATGTTCTGTCTACATGCTCTGAGAATCCTTCGACTCACTCCAGGATCATCGCTGAGTCATGGGAACCTGATAACAATCCCACTCCTACAGCGACTCCGGATCTAAATATGATGATCAGGGCCATAACCTCAGCCTGGAACCAAATACAGCCTTCTACTCCAGCCCATCCGGCTTCGGTAGCTCCTGGCTCTTCATCTGGTCCACCTCCTGAGATTGATCCAGTCCAAATAGCCATGCCTGCATCTCCCGCTCACTCTGAGTTATCTACCCCTGGGGGTAGCTTTGCAGCAGTTGAGACACCTACCACCTCGACCTTGTATTCTTAAATTATCCAGTACACTAAATGATGGTTTCAAGAGCCTGAAACGAATTAAGGACGGATTCTCTGCTCCCAGATATAATCCTTCTACCTCTCATGTCCACAGCCTAACAAAAATCTCTACGGCTCCAACAGTTGATGAGGATATTGGAATCCTGTGTGGCAAACGAGCTGCTTCGCCCTACCTTATTGAGGACCGAGAGTTTGCTCACATGGAATCAACCGTGAGAAAGACGTTGCCATCTATTAGTTGCGTGATTGCAGCAGTCGACGCTGCTAACACTGCTCTGGAGCATACTTACTCTGATCAAGACGCTTACATCCGAGGATGCATGACTTTAGCTCTGGACCAGTTCCAAATTATCCTGGATCAGTTGTCTCATTTTTTGGGCTAGCACTCTTGCTGTTTGTCGACGTGGACCCCTTAACATCTCTTCATGGGAGGAGAGATTTAAAACAGAACTGTTTCGCATCTCCAGGACTTATTAAAATAGCGTCGAACTGCACAGTTCACCCCTACCAATCCGGATTTACGCCATCTTTTTTGTGGCGCATCCACTCAAGGCCGTGGCAGAGGAAACAGATCTGGCCGTGGTGGTTCCTCTTGTCGCCCTCCCAGGACCAGCTCTGGCCCAGGGACCGCTATTAGACAAACTCGTGATAGAGCTCCTAGGTCCATGACCCATCACTCCAGGATTCTACACCCCCATCTTCTTGGTTCCAAGGAAAAATTCCAACAAACTCCGGCTCATCTTCAATATGAAGTTGTTCAATGCCCGATTCCTGCTTCCACCGCCTCACTTCAGGATGGTGTCGATCAACCTTTTACACACCATCCTGAAGAAGGGAGACTTCCTCATCAGCCTAGATCTTCAGGATGCTTATCTTCACGTTCCGATACATCCAGAACACCAGAAGTACCTTCGCCTCGTGTTCAACGGGAATCACTACCAATGGAAAGTCCTACCATTTGGAATTTCCACAGCCCGTGGCTTTTTACCCGAATTACCAAGCCCATAACGAGCTTCCTCCACTTTCAAAAAATTACCTTCGAAAGCTACATAGACGATTGCATCCAGGCTCAACAGGATCCAATCGTATTGCTTCGCCAGCTACAGTTCACCACCACACTGCTCTGACAGTTAGGGTGGCTGTTGAACATCGCGAAACCGGAACTAATACAGACTCAGAAACTCCAATTCATCGGAGCACTGTTTGACAATCGTAAGGGGATGATGTTCGTACCTCACGACAGGTGGATAAAGATTCAGGCAAGAACTTTACTACTTCCTTGTATATACTGAATAAAAGTTGAACTGGATCTCAACCTTTTCTTCTCATTATATGGGTTTAAGAACTACTTCACTTAGTCTCCATACCAAGGCATCGGAATACGGGCCACCTAGCGTGGCCCTACAGACCTGAGGCACAATCAGTATGACGATGCAGAGGTGTTCGACATTCACGCTTACTGACCTCTACTCCACGGAGCAATTACGTCAGTGAAGTGTGACACTCCCGAATTCCAGTGGATTTCGTTGTGTTCTGCCTCCAAAGTTGCCGGGCACATCCTTTGACTAAGCTTAGGCAAAGGAGTGAGGGTCAATTTGATGCTGCCTGGAACTGAACGTTAAACCTTGGAGAAGTCGAGTTGTGTTTCTCTTTCACCCGCCTCGGTCGGTGTCTGGGGGACCTTCTTGAAGCAGGGGCTGGCCCGATTCTAGTCGCAAGAATTTAATTACGGGTGTACCTTGTAGATCGTGGCACGACGAGGCTTACTTGCCGAGTTGCGCCCCTTGTCTTGTACAAGGTTGCGGCCGAACACCACATCACTCGGCAGCACCCATCTCCCTGGGAGTCGTTGGGCTTAGTAAACCAAAGGGTTCCAGAGAACCTACTACAAGCATAGGAGTTGCGTGCATGCGTAACAGGCCTCCTTTGTACATCGCTGTCTACGGTTGTCATCAGTCCACACAGCTCCAAGACCAGCTGTTCGCACTGTCCAGACAGAAGGGTAATCTGCGGCCCTCCGTCCAACCGTGGGATAAGTGCAAGTCGTGAGATAGGATAAGTTTAAAAATTTGGAAATTTTGATATAAATTGTATATTTATATACTTATACTATCTCATGCGATGGATGACCACCCGGCCTCCCCACTACTCAGATTACAACGTTGGCTCCAAGATGAGAATGATCATTCAAGGTAGTCACGCGGGCAATTAGTGGAGCATGCTGCAAGCTTTATTAGGAACTAGGAAGCTAATTAAGGAGAGCAGCATGGAGTGCAAGGGCGAATGGACAAGGAGGCCAATGGCAAAAAGTTTACAGTCGTTACACTAAAAGTCAAAGCAAGAGAGAGAGGTGCAAGTTGTGAGATAGGATAAGTATATAAATATACAATTTATATTAAAATTTTGAATTTTTGCCAGCCTGCTTGCCAGCTTATTTTAACACACTTTTTACTGAAAACATATTTATGCTTATGGGCGATGTGTTGGCATGATGTAGTACAGTTATAGTGAAAACAATTTTCTCTAATTCACAGGATTTTTGGTGCCATTTCCTTCAATTTTTACAGTGGCTTAATTTGTACATTTTGCATTTGCTCGAAAAAAACAACCTACTAACAAGATTGCTGGTAACCATGGTATCCTGGATTCTTCCATCAAGCTACACAACTTCAAAGTGTGTGATAAAATAAACAAGACGTTTCTAGAAGTGGAAGTTTCCTCCCTGTAGTGTATGTAGTTGATCTAGGGTCAAGTGGCTTTGGTCCTTTTGTTGTAGTGGAAACCTGAGCTTGTTTAGTTGTTAAAACTACATGGAACATGATGAAAGTGGACAAGAAATGGTTCGATAATATGTCTTGTAAAACAAGAACAAACAATTATTCCACACATGACTGGAAGAACTTGACCTCTAGTAAAATTTACTTCAGTTCTGAAAGAATGTTTGAATGTTTTCTTTTCGTTACTGAACGTTGATATGTGAAGAAAGATAAAGTCAAAATAAAATTCTAACACAATAAAAACTAGGTGAAGTATTGACAATATTCAGCTGTCTGACAAGGGTCATCTTTCCTGACACAAGCAAGCATGCTATGTGACCTGAAATCTTGGCAACTTTCCTTCCAGTTGATTTCAGACTAAACCATGATCACGTTAACAACATGTTGTGGTTATTGCTATTGTTTCCCCTCAGTTTGACAATGGTTGTTTTACAGCGTGGTAGTTTAGTGACATTCTTCACGATGGTTGTGTAGACGTGTATGTGTTGTATTTTGTCCTTGTAAGATACATGTCCGATATGTGTTATCAAGATCCTCCATCCCAGTCTGTCAACAGTTTGATGGTGTGAACTGACACTCCTGTGTTTTAGGACATGGGGTAGTCTAGTGGTCAAACAGTCCTCTTGTTACAGCAAGCTGCTAGTTCAACTCCCTAGATGCTACAGTATGTGAAGTCCATAGTTGATGTCTCCAATACAATTATTGCTGACAGCAGCTTAGCTGACATTTTTTGTTGGACTGAAATAATGCTAGGTGTATTGTACACATGTTTAATGTTTAAACTTTGACATATTGTTGCTGTTTTTTCATATTTTGATCCAGTGTGAATAGTTCACAAACTTAGTCCTTTTACAGAGCTAGAAAGACGCTTTAGAGATAATAAGTATCGAAGTGTCAGAAGACTGTCAGATCATCATTTCATACTTCCTTGTCATGATGAGATCTCCCTGTCTGCACCACACACACACTCTGCACTCGTCACGGCTCCTGATGCACACTTCACTGCCTCTGCATATGTGTTCTTGTTACCACATGATACGTTGTCATGGTTACATGCCATGAATATTGTTAACTCAGTCGCAAAAAATAACTTCAGATAAAGCTTTTTTATCATACTCTTATGGTATCAATAATATCACAACTAACTATAATAATAAAATTCGCTGAAGAGTCAATAGACTGGTAATTAGACATACCACATACTTATCTATGTTCCGACAGAAGAATGCAGTGTATGGTGTTAGTTTGACATGTTCTGTCAGTGAGATGTATTTTGATTGAGTCGCTTTTGTAAACGTCATGAATCTTACATGTTTAGAATTGTTTTTGTTTTTGCGGACTCGACATTTGCATGTATATCATCTCTACTTCAATACTGCAATGCAGTCGTTAAGCTTGCATTTCATCTTTCATTTGTTTTGTTAGACATTATCCATTGTCATTGCTTACGTGTTGGACTAGAGCTGTGAGTATTCACACAAGCCAGTGCTGCTTGAGTCTTGCTTCCTAGGTAATAAGTTCATTTATCCAAGTAGTCTTGCTTCCAGTTTGATCAGATTTGTCTTCGTGATAAGCTTTATAAACGGCAGTCACTGATAGGGACTTGCTGGACTCATACTGTGGGTTAGATGATCTCCCTGTATATTTCAGACCTTGAGGTGGGACGACCCTGACAAGTATATCTGGGATGTTACAGGGTATCGGGTCCTCTTCATCATTCAGAGAACTGGTACGTTATTTCTTTCACAGTAATATTGGTAGGTTTTATTCTTGTTTCACTGAGATGATTGGATGGTTTGACCTTGTTTATGTTTGGATGGTTTCACCGTGTGTATGATTGGATGGTTTGACCGTGTGTATAATTGGATGGTTTGACCGTGTGTATGATAGGATGGTTTGACCGTGTGTATGTTTGGATGGTTTTACTGTGTGTGTGATTGGATGGTTTGACTGTGGTTATGATTGGATGGTTTGACCGTGTGTATGATAGGATGGTTTGACCGTGTGTATGATAGGATGGTTTGACCGTGTGTATGTTTGGATGGTTTGAACGTTTGTGTGATTGGATGGTTTGACCGTGTGTATGATAGGATGGTTTCATTGTATGTATGATAGGATGGTTTGACCGTGTGTATGATTGGATGGTTTGACCGTTTGTGTGATTGGATGGTTTGACCGTGTGTATGATTGGATGGTTTCACTGTATGTATGATAGGATGGTTTGACCATGTGTATGATAGGATGGTTTGACCGTGTGTGTGGTTGGATGGTTTGACCGTGTGTATGATTGGATGGTTTGACCGTGTGTATGATTGGATGGTTTGACCGTGCGTTGCCCGTGCGTATGATAGGATGGTTTGCCCGCATGTATGATTGGATGGTTTGACTGTGTGTATGATAGGATGGTTTCACTGTATGTATGATAGGATGGTTTGCCCGCATGTATGATTGGATGGTTTGACCGTGTGTATGATTGGATGGTTTGACCGTGTGTATGATTGGATGGTTTGACCGTGTGTATGATTGGATGGTTTGACCATGTGTATGATTGGATGGTTTGACTGTGTGTATGATTGGATGGTTTGACCGTGTGCATGATTGGGTGGTTTGACCGTGTGCATGATTGGGTGGTTTGACCGTTTGCATGATTGGATGGTTTGACCATGTGTATGATTGGATGGTTTGACTGTGTGTATGATTGGATGGTTTGACCGTGTGCATGATTGGGTGGTTTGACCGTGTGCATGATTGGGTGGTTTGACCGTTTGCATGATTGAATGGTTTTACCGTGTTTAAGTCTAACACTGGCTCCTAAGATGGTTTATTAATCGAGATTCCTGTTTAATTTAAACCACAGAATTATTATATAAATTGTTTATCTCACTGAATACAAGCCCAGTACTCTTATGATCTATGCTGGACATTGTGAGAGATAACTTGAATGGAATAGACATCGTTGGTGTTTGGATGTCATCATACCATGTGATGTTGGTGACAATATATACACCAGGTTCCTGGTCCAGACTTGATTAGTTACAGATGTTCTGTTGTCTGTGGAATACTGCAGCATATAACATGAAACCCACATGACATCTCCCTGTGTTATTGTCGCGTGTTTCCCTGTGTTAGTGTCACGTGTTTCCCTGTGTTAGTGTCACGTGTTTCCCTCTGACGAGGTCATGTAGCAGCATCACATACCTCACTTTCATACATCACATCGCTGACATAGTCCACTCCATTCCTTCCATGCATTAATCCTGCTGTGTCTCTTGCTGCAGTGGCCATCCTCTACTACTACTTCTACAAGAGAACGGCGCTGAAGCTAGGTGACCCAAGGTTCTACCAGGACTCAGAATGGATCCGCCGGGAGTTCGAGAAAAGGAGATAGTGGCAGTGTGGCTATAACTTACCGAGTCTTGTCCACCTAGATAGAAAACAAATGATGTTTCCATTATGACTTGTAAGGAAGTGTGATGTCATCATTCTGTCCATGATGGCGACAAAGAGAATCGCTGCCTAAAACCTCAGAATTATAAGAATGGCTTCAGGAATTGGTAGATGTATCATCTTGACAGAGAAACATGAATTCTTGTCAAACTTCCGTAGCATTTGATATTTCTGATGCACTGAGATATTTTGATGAGAAATGATTTAGTTGCTCTCTGTGACACTGTCAAGGTCAAAAGCAGATGTTCTGCTTGATGTTATGACATCCTTCAGTGTTGAGTACATTACATATGTAATGAGATAGTTATACTGGAATAGAACAGATGAAGACAAATTATTCTGTATAAGTCCCATGGTCACAAGTGATTGCACAAGATCTATATCCGTCCACTATAGATGTATCTTAGCCTGACCTGATATCCAAATGGGTACTTAATGTACTGTGTATGGTAGAGACATCATCAAAATGGTAGGATTATTTTGTAACTCCTACAATAGTTATATATATGTGTCTTGTTGGTCTAGAAAAAGTGTCTTGTTGGTCTAGAAAAAGTATCGGAGCCATAGAAAGCTGTCTTATGATATGAATCTTGAGGCAAAATTATTTCATTTCATAAAATGCTCTCAGTGATCTGTATATCTGACCATATCAAAATCTGTGAATACCTTATTGTTTGTAAATAAACTTTTATACTGAATGAATAGAATTTGAAGTTTTGTATCATACTTTCAACTGTTAGTGAAAGGAGCAAGACCAGGAATGGTTGTGAGGGAAGTGCAGTACCTCCCACAGCGGGGTCAGGAATGGGTGAGAGGGAAGTGCAGTACCTCCCACAGCAGGGTCAGGAATGGGTGTGAGGGAAGTGCAGTACCTCCCACAGCAAGGTCAGGAATGGGTGTGAGGGAAGTGCAGTACCTCCCACAGCGGGGTCAGGAATGGGTGTGAGGGAAGTGCAGTACCTCCCACAGCGGGGTCAGGAATGGGTGTGAGGGAAGTGCAGTAACCCCCACAGCAGGGTCAGGAATGGGTGTGAGGGAAGTGCAGTACCTCCCACAGCGGGGTCAGGAATGGGTGAGAGGGAAGTGCAGTACCTCCCACAGCGGGGTCAGGAATGGGTGTGAGGGAAGTGCAGTACCTCCCACAGCAGGGTCAGGAATGGGTGTGAGGGAAGTGCAGTACCTCCCACAGCAGGGTCAGGAATGAGTGTGAGGGAAGTGCAGTACCTCCCAACAGCAGGGTCAGGAATGAGTGAGGAGGAAAGTGCAGTACCTCCCACAGCAGGGTCAGGAATGGGTGTGAGGGAAGTGCAGTACCTCCCACAGCATGGTCAGGAATGGGTGTGAGGGAAGTGCAGTACCTCCCACAGCCGGGTCAGGAATGGGTGAGAGGAAGTGCAGTACCTCCCACAGCAGGGTCAGGAAATGGGTGTGAGGGAAGTGCAGTACCTCCCACAGCCTCCCACAGGTCAGGAATGGGTGTGAGGGAAGTGCAGTACCTCCCACAGCTGGGTCAGGAATGGGTGTGAGGGAAGTGCAGTACCTCCCACAGCGGGGTCAGGAATGGAGTGTGAGGGAAGTGCAGTACCTCCCACAGCTGGGGTCAGGAATGGGTGTGAGGGAAGTGCAGTACCTCCCACAGCAGGGTCAGGAATGGGTGTGAGGGAAGTGCAGTACCTCCCACAGCTTGGTCAGGAATGGGTGTGAGGGAAGTGCAGTACCTCCCACAGCGGGGTCAGGAATGGGTGTGAGGGAAGTGCAGTACCTCCCACAGCGGGGTCAGGAATGAGTGTGAGGGAAGTGCAGTACCTCCCACAGCTGGGTCAGGAATGGGTGTGAGGGAAGTGCAGTACCTCCCACAGCAGGGTCAGGAATGGGTGTGAGGGAAGTGCAGTACCTCCCACAGCAGGGTCAGGAATGGGTGTGAGGGAAGTGCAGTACCTCCCACAGCAGGATCAGGAATGGGTGTGAGGGAAGTGCAGTACCTCCCACAGCGGGGTCAGGAATGGGTGTGAGGGAAGTGCAGTACCTCCCACAGCAGGGTCAGGAATGGGTGTGAGGGAAGTGCAGTACCTCCCACAGCAGGGTCAGGAATGGGTGTGAGGGAAGTGCAGTACCTCCCACAGCGGGGTCAGGAATGGGTGTGAGGAAGTGCAGTACCTCCCATAGCGGGGTCAGGAATGGGTGTGAGGGAAGTGCAGTACCTCCCACAGCAGGGTCAGGAATGGGTGTGAGGGAAGTGCAGTACCTCCTCCCACAGCGGGGTCAGGAATGGGTGTGAGGGAAGTGCAGTACCTCCCACAGCAGGGGTCAGGAATGGGTGTGAGGGAAGTGCAGTACCTCCCACAGCGGGGTCAGGAATGGGTGTGAGGGAAGTGCAGTACCTCCCACAGCAGGATCAGGAGTGGGTGTGAGGGAAGTGCAGTACCTCCCACAGCGGGGTCAGGAATGGGTGTGAGGGAAGTGCAGTACCTCCCACAGCGGGGTCAGGAATGGGTTAGAGGGAAGTGCAGTACCTCCCACAGCAGGATCAGGAATGGGTTAGAGGGAAGTGCAGTATCCCCCCACAATCCGTTCCTGTAGTTCTCACTGTTTCAAGTTTTCTTTAGTTGCGTTTCATCAATATTCTTCTTCCAGAAAAGAAGAAAAGTAAAGGCGGCAACTTGTAGTTATTAGAACCCAAAGGACCTTCCTTTTTAATCGACATCGAGACATATCAAAATCGATATTTTAGGGCTCACCTGAGGGTGTGAGTCAGTATTTGAATGCAGAATTTCTCTCAACTTCTTAATCAGTATGACTGGCTGATGATATCTAAAATCCAACATTTAGGCTGATTGGTTACTTTCATTCTGTTTGGTCAGTTAGAGTAGCACAGCAGGAAAATATTGCATATGAAGATCACAGGAAAGAACCATCTGATGATGTGGACCTGTGTAACAGCTGCAACATCAGGTCGTTAGGGCTCCAGCACAGGCAGAGTCATGACATCAAGTGCAGATACACTGCTGGAAAATAAGATGTACATCGTATGGTCATGGAATTAATATATGGAAGCAGTATGTTTGGTTGAGTATCTTTTGTTGTGAGTGTAGCATCAGTAGATCATCCGACCCATGAAGATCCGGGTTAGAATTGATCTTCAGTAACCCATGCTTGTCGTAAGAGGCGACTAACGGAATCGGGTGATCAGGTTCGCTGACTTGGGTTGACACATGTCATTGTATCCCAATTGCGTAGATCGATGTTCATGCTGTTGATCTCTGGATTGTCTGGTCCAGATCCGATTATTTACAGACCGCCGCCATACAGATGGAATATTGCTGAGTGCGGCGTACAACTAAACTCACTCACTCACTCAGTAGATCATCCATTATGCATGTCAACAACAAACATTGTTCTTTTCTGTTTTCTTCACTGAAGTCCCCGTCATTATGTTAAAATAATGGTCAGATTATTTATCTTCAGCATGTGCAGGTCAAAACATTCAGTCTTGGGTCGGTCTCAGTTTCCTGTCGTATTTGAAAAGACAGTACATTACCAGGCCTGATCTCAATCACCGACATTCCTTATTGGACGTTTAGGCAGCCCAAGTGTGTCTATTCTGTGTTATATTTGTGTCCTGGGTTACACATACCCTTGACGATCCGGGTTAGAATTGGTCTATAGCAACCCCATGATGTCAATCACTGGAATGACTGGTCCAAACTCGAGTATTTACAGACCTCCGTCTTACAGCTGTAAAATTGCTGAGTGCAGCGTTAAACACACACCATGCAGACGCATGTACATTTTGAATGAACTCCCCCTAAAATTTACGTACGAAGTAATTTTTGTGCATAATTTTTTATGTACAAATTGCTGACACACCCCAGAACAAAATGGGTGACACCTCCCACCCACCCTAAAATCACCATCACCCCCCTAGCCATAAATTATGAACGGTCCTTTATGCTGAGGTAATAGAATAACTGCATTTTACCATCTAAGACTGATGCTAAAATACTTTCTACATCAATACAACTGAGAACAACGACGTTACAACTGTAAATACCTATGGATTGACTGTCTTACCAATATGTGTAGCGGAATTTTACAAAGGTTCGCATTTAAGTTTTTCGATTGATACCCCGATGAATCGAAAAATACACCGTCAATCTTAAATAATTGAATTTTCCTTGTGTGCATTGTAATTCCATTTTGATTGGCTTAAGTGGTCACGTGTTATTGCAATCATATATTTCCTACACATGAAAGTATAGTCATGACACAACATACCTGCAGGGTCTGCAAGAATGCTGACATGTGTTTTTTTCACTTGCCTGAGTTATGCTGGGCTCCGTATGGTATATCACAAGTTAACACACGTAAAGGGAGCCGGGAACCAGCTTATCACCTGAGTTACACAAATGCTGTGTATACCCTTTCTCGGGAAACCAGTTATGTTTAAATACTAAAGTACTGTCGGAAATGCTGGAAAAATGCTTTTTGACTTTCAGAGATATTACAGTTACTTAAATAACAAATATCACTTTAAGAAACATCTACCTAATGTAGACCGAGGGAATAACTTTTGAGACATGCCCTAAAATGTGTTTTTACATATGAAAATAGGGGTAGCCTAGTGGTTAAAGCGTTGGCTCGTCACGCCGAAGACCCGGGTTCGATTCCCCACATGGGCACAATGTGTTAAGCTCATTTCTGGTGTCCCCCGCCGTGATATTGCTGGAATATTGCTAAAAGCGGCGTAAAACTAAACTCAGTCAGTCAGTCAGTCGGGCGGTGGGGTAGCCGAGTAGTTACAGCGTTGGTTAGTCACGCTGAAGACCCGGGTTCGATTCCCCACACGGGTACAATGTGTGAAGCCCATTTTCTGGTTTTTACCCGTCGTGATATCGCTAAATATTGCTAAAAGCGGCGTAAAACTATATTCACTCTCTCACTCTAACCATGATTGACAGGTTCTGTGAACTTTGTTTTCATGCGATACCTTAATTGTTTCCAATGGGTACTGACTGTGTGGGCGGGACCAGTTATATGCATAAATAAATCAATCACCTGTATCAGAAAATGGCACTGTAAGAACAACTTGAGAGCTCTAGAAAGGGGCACTGCATAGGCCCCTCTTTCGTCCTGAAAGTTCATTAAATGATCATTGAAACTCTCGTGAAAATTAACCGTGCATCCCCACCCCCGCCCTTCTCAAAAAAGCTGCATCCGCCCCCTGCACTGTTTCAATTTAATGTGAAAGTATCAGAAAACGGCACTTTAATAAAGAAAAGTATTCTACAACTACCTCCGTTTCAATAAGTACAAATGTTTATGTTCTCGAAAGCAGCATCTCTTCCAGGCACCGCTCCCAACGGTGAACCAAACACACACCGACAACATGTAAGGTCTTGTGACTTGTGTTCTGAAGGTGCTCAGCCTGAAGTGTGATAAGTCACATGGAATTGAGAAATTACGTCGCAGGGTATTGTATACGTTTTTATGATATTATTCTGCAGATGAAAATGTCGATCTTTATCATCTGTTAGTACTCCTGCAATGTTGCTGGTGCCGTGTAACGTAATATATACTAACATCTCTCACCAAGTATCTGGAAGCTCTGTGATCGAATCAATGCAATAACTCAGTACAGTGTTACTCTGTTCGCGGAGCACCGAGGGTGTAACGAAATGAGTGTGTGAATGAGTGGGATTTACGCCGTTTTCAGCAATATTCCAGCAATATCACGGCGGGGGACACCAGCAATGGACTTCACACATTGTACCCACGTAGGGAATCGAATCCAGGCCTTCGGCGTGACGATCGAGCGCTGTAACCACCAGGCTACCACTCCGCCCCTAAAACCACACTCCGGCACAGCGATGACTTAACATAACATCACTGCCACAGGCTAATTTGCATATCACGTGACCGGACTTTTCTCTTGTTTGTAAACGAACGCGCATATTCATAATAAGAAGAGACTAGACTGGCTGCATCGTTTGCTCTCCGTCAGCTTCGATGACAGCACGTGGAGCCGTACAACCTATGTAAACAAAGGATCGCTACGCAAATCGAAATAGTGTTACACGTTTTTGGATATTTTCTCAGTGAAACTAAACAATTTTGTTAAAGATGTTTAATTAGATGTGTAGATTCGTCAAAAATAAAAGAGTAAAAGAAATCTGTAGTAACGATTGACGCTGGAAAAGCGCTTGCAACCAATGTCGACAGGGGAGATAACTCTAACCAGTTGTAGGTGGCGTAAGACGTTTCCGTTTCCAGGATTGGTCAGTTTCAGTGCGATAATTATGTTTATTCGTCTTCTCTATGGCGGTAAGTACAAATAAGAATCTCCAAATACTGTTCATTGTGTATTTGAAAATGTTTATGACGCTTATAAATCTTTGATTACCTAATGCGAAACCTTGTATGGCACAAATATGTGACCCAGGTCACGTTATGAACGTAGATCTAGATGTAAATTGCGTTGAATTATTCATGAATGAAATTGTGGCTGCGATGGTTACATATGAGGCCGTGGGTACATTAGTTTTCTATAGTTTAACTATTAGTCAGCTATTGTTTAACTATTAGTCAGCTATTGTTTAACTCCAGCTACAGTTACAACGAAATCCAATGAGATTAATCACTGTGTCATATATCGTGTTTACAGAACAACAGATGATAGTTGTAAATCCGAACTGCACGGCTAAATTATTCATCGACTACATCAAAGCAATATGTAACTTTGATCAAACAGGTAAGACAAATCATTCAGTTTCCAGCTTTGTTTGATACCGGGGCGCGGAACTTCTGTAGCATTGTTTACCTTATCCTGCATAGCCGTCTGCTAATCCCCCGAAGCTGTGATGTCTTGTGGTTAGACAATTCGCCCGGAGAGCGGAAAGATGGAGGTTCGTACCAATAGACGATTAAACACAGTACTTGTTACGCTGTCTGTCTGTTGCTCAACACAAAGGGGATGAAATAAGGACTTGGAGTAATTGTACTGTGTGTGTGTACATACATATACATATATATATATATAACACTAGTTCATAATTAGTTATTCTGATTACCACTGATGTATAAAACACTACATAATGGTTGTAATTTAACATGCAAATGATCAACTTAAATGATCATAGAGGTGATATTTAAATCACACATATTTAATTACATACATGATAAAAGATAATGTGTACATACCCTTTGGGTGACACCAGGTGTGTCTATATACCCACACTAGAATTCTGGATTATTGCATTCCTAAAACAAATAGTAAGTACAATATTTTACTAAGGCTACATTAATAATGTAGAAAGGACTTTCTTGTTCAACATTGCATTCAAACTACCAATCAAATCATGCTCTCACACATACACACATTTAGACATTTCATATTGATAAATTAAGAGGTGCATTGGCTACTTGATATAAAATATTAATATTTACAACACTTTATATTATTTATAACATATTTAATGGATAGGTTGAGATTCTGTTTAGGTTAATATAAAGTAAATGTCTAACCTGAGCTGTGCTGAGTGACTTGTCCTGTGCAGAGTTGTTAGCAGTGTGACTAAAAAGTGTGCAAATGCTATTGAGGAATGCTGCAGTCATATAATGTTAATCAAATCGGAAGCTGGGGGCTATTGTATTGAAAGCTAGACTGTTGAGGCCCTAAACAGACCAACTGCTTGGATAAGTAACCCAAGCTTATAAACTAAATAACACAAAAACAACTTAAAATGATAAATATATAACTTTATTGCTAAAACTATAAACACAATCTTCTGTTACAGTTTCACAATTGTAAGTAGATCCAACTGCTTGAAATTAAGTTACTGTCCTGAGTTTTTGTTTCAGCAATTATTGATCTGTGTGATGAAAGCGGCAACCTTGCATACATCCACACCAAGAACAAAACCGACAACATCTTCAGTCTCACAGTACCAAGGGCAATATACATACCCGTTCTCATAGAAAGTAAGGATGGAAAAACTCCCGCTTTTTCTTGACCTGATTATTGGCAGCTTCTATGTTTTGGAGGAACCTGACGGTGTGAAGGAGTGGTTTCCTGCACCATCAATGTGCCATGCATCACTTTGTGGCCATACTAGTTTTGGGAATCGGAAACCAAATCCACTATCGATTATCGGAGGATTGTGGTGAACGATTATCGATTATAATCGAAATATATACATTTTTAATGTAATGACCAATTTTCCCGTTTTTTTTCTAATTAATGTTTTTTGTTTTTTTATAACCAATGCTGTCATGCAATGAAATGCACGCACACAAGAAAGACACTGGAATTGTAATTAAACAATAAGGATGGTTAAAATTTTACAATGTGCATAGCTTTACGCATGTTTGTTCGTGAATATTCGTCAAATTTGATGGTTAGTTTACTTCATTCAAGGGTGTTACACAAAACAAAAAAGTTCCAATTAATCTAAGAAAATTTTTACAATCGATAATCATTTTTAATCCTTCTTTCGATCGATTTTCGGCCACACACCATGGACTATACTCCTTGAAATATGATCTGATTGTATCTTACCCACCGGAACAATGCTGAACATAGTTACCTGTTGTTGGGCCATTGCTTGATACATTTTAGACATTTGATTTACTATGTTTGGTTCAACTGAAAATATGGTGAATTGTAATCATCAGCCAGTACCTTTATAGGTATTGTGTCTAGTTTGGAATATGTGTGGTGCAGATGTTCATTGCTGGTTTTTCTTCTATCTCAAGGCTCTGTATCCCAGTCTGGTGCTTATCACCTATGGTTTTAACCAAACTCTGTTTGGGTGACTGCACCTTTAGTATACATTATATCACACTGCAGCATGCTGCCTGCACCTTCTGTAGTACAGTCTAAATCAGCTGCTACAGCTGCAGATTCTACTATAATCATGCGAATGTCTCAGTGATGAACATTACCTTTCATTCAGTTTTCCACTTGTCTCACAGAGGGACCAGATGACAGCATTAAGAGCATCCTGCCGCTCCTGGTTGACTGGGACAAGACTTACCCCTCACTGGAGAGTAAGCTCCACAAATTGGTCTACCTTGGTGGACATATCACATATCTGATGATCAATATTATCGATACATTAATACATTTTACCATCATATCTGGGTCCCTGTCAAAACAGACCAGCAAATGTATTCACTGGACACAAAACCGACAGGTGTTTAGTGTTTGATATTTATAATGGATGGAATTCTCTTTATTGTTATATTTGCAATTAGGCGCTGGGTAAAAACATGGTCTGAAAGAAATATATTCCTGGGCGTTTAATGAAGGAAGTACTGAATCACTGATCGGCGAAATATGAAACTGAAAATAAAGTCATGTGTATTAGTTCCATAGTCAGCACGTCATATGGGAAGTGGTTGGGTCTTGATTGAATCTGGTAAATAGAATTCTTTTCTTAAGTAGCACATTATACATTGAAAAAAAGCCATTGCTCTGTACAATGTTGAACATGCATCCATTTTCCCCATATGTCCTGAAGGAAAGTTAAAGCAACACACCCCTGCTGCCGACAAACCCAAGAAGTCTGGAAGTAAGTACACAAGCTCCATCGACATTTGTTTGATGTCAAGAAATCCTTATTTCCCAAGGCTTGATCATGTCTCCTGTTTGCTCTTGTCTTGTGTTTGATCTTATCCTGATGGGCTTCTCATCGGGTCTATTTTGGATCAGTTAATACAGTTATCCAGAAATTAACCAGTAGTTATCATCGTGTATGATTAAACATTCTATTCCTATTACATTAGAGGCATACATTCCTAGTTTGGCTCTCAATCACGCTATAAAACAGCAAACAGACGTACACTTCAGCCCTAGTTCTCCGCGGGAAATGCAACTGGCGGGAATGCGTGCGCGAGGCGGGAACTCGTCGCCTAACCATAACTCCATCAAACAGATTCAGGACTTTGGGGTGATCGGGAGACTAATTCCTGATGAAATATTATAGGTGGTATTCCTGGAATTATACAGTGGAAACTGTATAACCTTTGTCTACTCTACCTGTATTAAATCAGACCCTGAATGCACCAGAGGGAATAGTGGGATCAGGTGTCTAGTAACGCTAGATGGTTGGCAGCAGTGAAGCAAGAATACATGCATAGTCGATAAACTTGGAAAACCGATGTATATTCGCTGACATTTTGTTTTGTTCCAGATCTTTTAGTTCTGGCATCATTTTCTTACCTGTGATGTCACTACCCGTCCTGAAATGACTTTTCGCGTCATTTCTGGTACATAATACGAGTTGCATCTGTAGGTCACCGTAACAGTGTGAAGTTTAACTTTAAGGTTATTTTAATATGAGGTGTTGCACTGATTTCCAGCTGATGACGTCATTCCTTTTCCTGTCGGTGACATTCTTTCCATGCGATGTCACTTCCGGTGGCTGAACATTGACCTATCCTTGAGAATCATGTAGAAACCAAATATCCTCTAGTATGTCTTCAATCTTGGAATCCAGTGTTAGCAAGAGATTTACCTGGTCACTATTCGACCATGGTTCAAAGGATAAAACTTTTGGAAAGTACGTAGCATTTTATTGTCCTTCACAAACAACGACTCAATAAATTGATTTGGTATTTCATCAAAACATTTTCCATGTAAGCTGATATGCATATTCCTCTCTTTGGTTTCCTTGTGAGTGCCTCGTCAGTCGCCTGATGATTCTGTGAAGAGATAATCTCGAGGGGCGCATGTAGCATCACATTCTGGCGAAGTGCCACCAGTTTAGTTCTGACAGAGGAGCAATTAGAGGTCGAGTTGGTTTGTCCGAATCCGTCTCTCTGTGTTCACGTTAAGAAGTGGAGCTTGATGGACAACTCTCTGATTAGTTCTGGGTACAGTGACTATTTCTTACACAGGAAAGTAGCGAGTGAGGTTTTCCCCATCGCGTATGTGCAATTTCATTTTATAGCATGATTGACAGCCCAAACATGAACGCTTGGCTATTATGTAAAAGAGGATGTGGTTTCAAATGAATTATCACATTTATTTAAACATACTGAAGTTGTGATAGCGTCTTTGATCTTTATGGTGATCCAGCTGTCAAACCAGATGGTCAAAAATACTCATCAAAACTTGTTTCAATTACATTTGTTAGGCACTAGACATACTGTGCAAACGTCCTTCAAAATTCCACTCAGGATGGCTGTCATCTTTCAGCGCCCTTGAACCTAATCTGATCAAATGTTCCTAATGATGCTTGTTATTTGGTAACAGCGTCTGGGAATATAAGGTGAGGTGAGTTGAAATTGGGTTTTACGTCGTACTTGAGAATATTTCGCTCATATGACGACGTGCATGCGTGTGTATGTGTATGTGCGGCTGCTTGTACTAGCCCAGACTGAAGCTGGTTTTATAGTGCTAGCCCACTGAGATACCATGCCGCAGTGAAGCATGAATACCCCACTCAGACACATTATACCGACTCCGAGCCGACCAGTCCTTGTTGTACCCATTAATGCCAAGCGCCAGGTAGGGACCAACAGGTACCATATTTTTAACGTCTTTTGGTATGACGCGGTCGGGGATCGAACCCACGACCTTCCGCTCTCCGGGCGGACGCTCTAACCACTACACCACGGAGGCGGTCTGGGAATTTAAGGACAATGGGAGGACGCCATGTATGAAAGCACCATTAAAAACAAGAATTTAGTTCTATGTTTCAGCGTGATAGGATTTTCTTGAACATAGCAATATGGCAGTTGATTTCAAGTCCCATGTTTGAATCCTATTTTCAGACGAAACAAAGAGCAAGCGCCGTGAGAGACTTGGAGATCAGTCTCCTTCACGTCGTAGCAGCTCATCTGGGAATTCCAACGAGATGGTCCCCAAACCCAGCAACATCGGCAAGATTTCCCGCAAGAAGTGATACACATTAACGCTTATCTTCATGTGGCGTAACGTGTATTCATCAAAAGTTGTTCCACTGTTAAAATGGCTGGAGCTCAACACCAGTTTTGAGAATAAATTTTGGATTTATATTTCTGTTATGCAAAAATATAAACACACCAGAACAAATTTAATTGAAAGCCTAACCTATACAGATATTGGTCTTTGTTTTGTGTAGTACAATTCCCAAAACATAGACATATAAAACAGTGTGTGAATACATTTCTTACACATATCTTCTAGAGAGGTGTGTACACATCTTGCAATGCCACAATGAAACCTGGTGACCTGGTAGTATGGCGGTCTGTGTAGCCTGCTGATGGAACAAGTCAAACACTCACATCTGTACAATTTGGGTGACTGATTATTCGACTGTGGCACTTCCATGATGCATTGTCAGTTGAGTTATCCTCTGTACAAAGAGCCCTGTTATTATCCAGGTTGTTCTGGCTCCTCACGCATGTTAGGTCAACAGATTGGATTGTTGCAATTGCTTTTAATCACCTGCTTCTCCAGACTTGACTATCTACATGCGGACCTGTCGTCATATAGATATATAGATATTTTGTGTTATGGTTGTTTTGTTATCGTAGATCTATGTGTGGGGATACAGATGTCATGCGGGGTGATACAGATGTAACCAGGGGGTGATACAGATGTAATCAGGGGGTGATACAGATGTAATCAGGGGGTGATACAGATGTCATGCGGGGTGATACAGATGTAACCAGGGGGTGATACAGATGTAACCAGGGGGTGATACAGATGTAACCAGAGGGTGATACAGATGTAACCAGGGGGTGATACAGATGTAATCAGGGGGTGATACAGATGTAACCAGGGGGTGATACAGATGTAACCAGAGGGTGATACAGATGTAATCAGGGGGTGATACAGATGTAACCAGGGGGTGATACAGATGTAACCAGGGGGTGATACAGATTAATGGTGTGTGGGTGGGGAGGGGGTAGTGTGTGTGTGTGTCTTAGTGGGTATGTGTGTCTGTGTGTGTGTGAGAGAGAGATACAGATGTTATGTGGGAGGGTGTCACAAATGTAACCAGGGAGTTGTACACATGTAATGAAGGGATGATAAGGGGCGATGTACATATAAGGAAAGGGTGAAACTGATGTAACAAGATACTGTCTTGTGCAGCAGTCAGCAATATTCAGATTGACCTGTAACCAATGCCCAATGTTAGTCCACTCCTACCACCAGCATAGGTTGTCTGTATGGCAGGAAATCATTCACTCACACAATGCTTACACTAGAAACCTGAGGGTATTTTATCAGTGTCTTTTAGTCATACATGAACCCTGCAGCCAAACAAGTAACAACTGCCATGTCTAACAGAATCAATATGAAATATCACGGAGTCGTTGCAGATCAGCAGTTTATCATGATACATCTTCATCTTCTGAGATTGATCACTTGTCCCCCTCTAAACACGTTATACAGTGGTTCATTCTGCTGGTAATACAACACCAAACGCTATGATCTCGCTGATGTAACTGTTTACTGGTGACATCCTGATCTCGCTGATGTAACTGTTTACTGGTGACATCCTGATCTCGCTGATGTAACTGTTTACTGGTGACATCCTGATCTCCCTGATGTAACTGTTTACTGGTGACATCCATGAGCACAACAGATGACTCACTGAGGGTCATAATCAGTTCAAACCCGTGACAGCAGTCTAGAAGCAAACATCACATGAAGTAGGGACACCTCCCACCACTGGGCCACCTGACCATCTGACTCTGCTGCAGAGCCTGTCTGACACGTAGTGAATATTGGCAATCGCTATCATCAGGGCTGACAGTGTGACAATATACTTAACTGTCAAACTGCTGTTGTCATCTTTCATATCCATACATAACTATGAAACACCCTGTGAGAGACCCGGACAGCCAGTGGATTGGTGTGTCTAATATAATGACCACTAGTCAGTGGATTGGTGTGTCTAATATAATGACCACTAGTCAGTGGATTGGTGTGTCTGATATAATGACCACTATTCAGTGGATTGATGTGTCTAACATAATGACCACTAGTCAGTGGATTGGTGTGTCTGATATAATGACCACTATTCAGATGATTGGTGTGTCTAACATAATGACCACTATTCAGTGGATTGGTGTGTCTAATATAATGACCACTAGTCAGTGGATTGATGTGTCTAATATAATGACCACTATTCAGTGGATTGGTGTGTCCAACAAAATGACCACTATTCAGTGGATTGGTGTGTCTAATATAATGACCACTAGTCAGTGGATTGGTGTGTCTAACATAATGACCACTATTCAGTGGATTGGTGTGTCTGATATAATGACCACTAGTCAGTGGATTGGTGTGTCTAACATAATGACCACTATTCAGTGGATTGGTGTGTCTGATATAATGACCACTAGTCAGTGGATTGGTGTGTCTATTATATAATATAATGACCACTATTCAGTGGATTGGTGTGTCTAATATAATGACCACTAGTCAGTGGATTGGTGTGTCTAATATAATGACCACTATTCAGTGGATTGGTGTGTCTAATATAATGACCACTATTCAGTGGATTGGTGTGTCTAATATAATGACCACTATTCAGTGGATTGATGTGTCTAATATAATGACCACTAGTCAGTGGATTGGTGTGTCTAATAAAATGACCACTATTCAGTGGATTGGTGTGTCTAACATAATGACCACTATTCAGTGGATTGGTGTGTCTAACATGATGACCACTATTCAGTGGATTGGTGTGTCTGATATAATGACCACTAGTCAGTGGATTGGTGTGTCTAACATAATGACCACTATTCAGTGGATTGGTGTGTCTAACATAATGACCACTATTCAGTGGATTGGTGTGTCTGATATAATGACCACTAGTCAGTGGATTGGTGTGTCTAACATAATGACCACTATTCAGTGGATTGGTGTGTCTGATATAATGACCACTAGTCAGTGGATTGGTGTGTCTAATATAATGACCACTATTCAGTGGATTGGTGTGTCTAATATAATGACCACTAGTCAGTGGATTGGTGTGTCTAATATAATGACCACTATTCAGTGGATTGATGTGTCTAATATAATGACCACTATTCAGTGGATTGGTGTGTCTAATATAATGACCACTATTCAGTGGATTGATGTGTCTAATATAATGACCACTAGTCAGTGGATTGGTGTGTCTAATAAAATGACCACTATTCAGTGGATTGGTGTGTCTAACATAATGACCACTATTCAGTGGATTGGTGTGTCTAACATGATGACCACTATTCAGTGGATTGGTGTGTCTAATATAATGACCACTATTCAGTGGATTGGTGTGTCTAATATAATGACCACTATTCAGTGGATTGGTGTGTCTAACATGATGACCACTATTCAGTGGATTGGTGTGTCTAACATAATGACCACTATTCAGTGGATTGGTGTGTCTAATATAATGACCACTAGTCAGTGGATTGGTGTGTCTAATATAATGACCACTAGTCAGTGGATTGATGTGTCTAATATAATGACCACTATTCAGTGGATTGGTGTGTCTAATATAATGACCACTATTCAGTGGATTGGTGTGTCTGATATAATGACCACTATTCAGTGGATTGGTGTGTCTGATATAATGACCACTATTCAGTGGATTGGTGTGTCTATTATAATGACCACTATTCAGTGGATTGGTGTGTCTGATATAATGACCACTATTCAGTGTTAGAGAAGCTCAAACTTATGTTCTCTTTTTCTTCTTTGCACTGTCAGCTGACTGAGGTTCATGTAACGAGCTCGAGTTAAGATCCTGGGAGCGTTGATTTCGTCGTTTCTTATTTTTGGGAGTTTTTGCCCTTGGCTCATTTTGGTCCTGTGTGACAGCCTGTGTGACATCCCGTGTGACATCCTGTGTGCTGTCATCAAAACCAGCTATACCACATCCAGTGCCTGTGCCTATCACACTTGGTGTAGACTGACCAACTGACCCTAACAGATGCTCCCGCAGTGCCAGTGAAGATCTTTCCTGGGATGACACTGGAAGACAGAGAACAGTAGCAGTATTTTGACGATGATGGATGATTACTAAGCAACATTCCAGGTACATGACTGTAGTCTGTAAATAGTCAAGTCTGAACCAAACAATCCAGTGATAGACATCTGAACAATATATGTCAAGTTGAGAAGGCTCCTGTCTAGAAACCAGGTCCTTACGTGGGTATAACATGTGGATCATTTACTTGGTGTGACCTGGCTTGAATAAGGCTACACACTGTCGAACCCTGCATTCATAACAAAAGCAAACAAAGCAACTTACGTGAGGCATCGTCCTGCACAGATTTAGCTGCGTCCAGAGCTTTGTGTTGTGCTCTGCCTCCTCCAGATGCTTCCTCCAACACACACACAACAATCTTGTTGAGCAGCTTCAGTGATGACTGCACACAGTCTGTATTCTCTGCTGGTCTGCCATCTGGAGATGCCTCGGTGTCTGACGTGTCACAGTCCAGCTGCCTCTCCGTCTCACAAGGTAAGTCTAACACACTGTTGTATACAGATACCAAGCTGGACAAAAACTGGCGGGAGAAATCTGACAAGTCAGTAACAACTTTCCTGCAGACTTGACCAAAACTATTTTCATGACACAGAATACTTAAAACCCAAGAAAGAATGTCAGATTTTAGTTTGGGGCTGTTGGCACTGGGTTGGTGTTTGAGAATCCAGGCCATGGTGACAAGGGCACTGGACACCTGCACATCCTCCTCCATCGCCCACTCGGTACAGCTGTCCTGATGTGCTGCAGGAGATGATGACACACATCTCTGGGGAGCCCAATACAGGCAAACCCGACACACATTGTTCAACACCTTCACTCTGTTCCCTATATCTACATCCTTTTCACCGATGTCTGATGTTTCACCAGTTTTCACAGACTCTGGATTAGATTTCTCCGTTGATGCCATATTTTTACCATCTGCATCTACCTCCATCTTCTCCTCCTCTTCCTCTATGAGGTCCACCTCCTCCACATGGTAGTCCTTGCGTTTCCTCTCAACCGTTGTCTTGGCGACCTGTATGTGTATACCTAGAGAGCTGAGTATGTTCTTCAGCTGTGCAGCTGTTGTGAGGTCGTTCTGCAGCTGGCTACAGCTGAGCAGGAGCAGAAGGACCTCCTTGACTGTGATAGTTTCTGCAGGAGAGCAGACACCCTGTGCTGTGTCCCCTGTGACATCCGCGAGCTGTTGGAGGGACGACACCATTGTCTCTGTTAGCAGCTGGAGGGAACGGCAAGAAAACTCATGATGTCTGGAACAAATAATGCCAAACTGTGCAGCACAGGGAAATTGTTTTGGGAAATCTCAAAGAAACAAAACTTCTGCTTCACATTTACTGGAAGCGACTCATCTACTGTTAATGATATCTAAGAAATGACAACAGTCTGTCAAGGGCGGAGGTAAATGTTACCAAGGAAAAAGTCTGACAGTTGCCCTCCAAACAACATGAAGGTTATCATTGAATTAGTGTGAAGGTCACCCTCTAAATAGCATGAAGTTCATCTTGTAAATTGGATGTAGGTGACTTCCTGGGGATGTCTGAATGTTCTCTCCTACCTGATGTGAGTGATGAGCCTCTTACAGCACAGCAGCACCTCCCGGACAAACTGTGAGGGCAGCGTCCTGCCCCCCTCCCCCACCATGGTGGACCACAGCGTGTGGAGGATGGAGGCCAGCAGCTCACAGTGCTCCACGTCATGCAGCCTGGAAGGATGCCAGTCAGTCAGTGAGTGAGGGAGGGAGTGAGGTAAATGCTAAAGATAACAATACTACTGAACATATCACACAGCCACATCTAACCAAATCTGACCGAGGTGAACAGGATCCTGACAGTGTGCAGTGCTGCAGATTACAGTACAAGTCAATATCAGAACTGAAGAATAAAAATCATGCTTTTTCAAACCATATTTTTTTTTAAACACAATCAACAAGGTTACATGACCACATGATTGGCATCAATGGGCTCTTAAAACGAATCCACCCACTCTAGATGTGGACATAATTCTGGATACAGCTTTGTGATCACATATGAAATTCCCTACAACCTTCATCTGGTAACTGGACAGGTGATACTTCAACACACACAGTGCAAGGAAACACTTGAACACCCGGCAATAAACACATTGCCCTTCATCGTAAGTAAATGGAAAGATAACCAATGTTCCCTCAAATCCCTCTAATCTAATACCGACTGAACAAGCAAGTTGTGACATTACTATTGGCGCCAAAGGTCTTACCGTTTCATGAGGATACCACTGATCCAGGTGAGGATACCATGGTTCTTTGCCAGATCCACTGCCATCGGGCGACCCGAACAAGCTGCTTTAACGATCCTCAGCACACGCACCTGAAACACAGCATCACTACACTGATAGGAAGGATAATCTGTGAATACACAGGGTAAACTGAAATTCTGTAAATTATGGAAACACTCTAACATCCTGCTAGGGACACCAAGATCCGCCTCACATACTGCTCCACCACAAAGAATTCTGGTCTATGGCACAGCACATTTAACCTGAAGATGAACTACTACTTCACCATCGTGTACAGACCTGGGAGAATTGGTCGCTCATGGCGGAGTCACAGAACCCCTGCAGTAACTTGAAGGTGAACCTCCGCTCCATTGTCTTGTAGTCAGACATCTCACGCAGACCATCCGCCAGGAGACTTACAATCCACGTCCTTTCCTTCCTGTGCTGAAACGATGAGCAATCACCATGGTAACACAAGTACTCTCTTGATGAACAATCACCATGGTAACATAAGTACTCTCTTCCTTCCTGTGCTGAAACATTCAACCACAGTAATATGTCACTCCTGTAAAGTTGAATCTTCGGCAAGTTCCCAAACCTTTGTCTGAACCACTGTCAACAGGCAGGTGTAGACTAAACGTGGAAGATAGAGCTTCGTAACCTGTAGATCTGACAGCACTAACGTGAATTAGGAACTGAACATGCAGGTAGAAACACCGTCACACTGGATAGATCAGGATCATGAGTATAGCGTGAAAGTAGGACTGTGCTAGCATCTTCATCCTGACATGATAAAACAGAGGAAACCACTACAGCCCCACTTACTGCCAGGTAAAGCGGTACAACGTTGCCATGGTTACCTGTAGGTCAGCACTGTTGAAGAGCTTATAGAACTCGGGTACATTCTCTGTGTCCAGACTCGGCTTCAGCAGCAGGAAGTTGTTCATCTGCCGGTACATGTGTTCATCTGTAGAGAAATAGCTTGGTTTCAAATTCAAAATACATAAAAATAACCTGCATTATATGTTTACCTGATGCCAGTATAAACATACAAGTTGTGGACAAAATCTTATCCATATTGATCAAAATGTCTGGAAATGAGTGTTGAACCAATTTGAGCTATAACACGTGACCCGATGACCCTTGACATCATCAGGCTCATGTGACCTTTGATCTTGTCAGTATCAACTCATATAGCAGATTATCAATCTATCATCATCGACTATTTACCTGTCAGATCTGGCTAAATTCAATCAACATTTCTCTTTCAACAACACGACAAAGGTATCAACATCTACAGCAAAAGTAAAATTGCAAGAGTAAATCTATGAAACTTGTTGCCATGGAAACTAAAACCTATAGCCATCAAAAAAGTACAATGTTCTCAGTTGTCCTGTTCCTGTCAGTACCTGGATGCAGCATGAGACGCGAGACACGGGCCAGGAAGAGGGTGATGAGACAGGATAGACGTTGGTTCGGCTCCTGTACGCTGTTCCGTAAAGTGTCCAGCAGGTATGTCACTTGAAGACGTTCATGGAACTTGACGCCGGACAGATGGTCCACATAGCGAGCCAGTACAGTGTACGCTGCCTTCCGTATGCTGGGTTCATGGCTACTCAGAGCAGTCAGCGTGTATGCCAGACAGTGACTTGATACGAACTTCCGACAGTCTACCAGGGAATCTACAAACAAAATGGAGAGAGTCAAGATGTCAGGTCCCCGATTCATCTACTTCCAGTTATTTCAATTAGGTGTGGAGTATGACAGACGGGTACACATAACACCCTGATAACACGTAATGTGAACACACAATATTTCTCACTTCAAGGAGTCATATTCCATCACCGCATCAAAGATTATCAGTGTGTCAACAAAAATGTAAGAAAACCTCCCCCCCGATGTTGCTGAGACTTGGTGGAAGATGACCACCAGTTGACTAAAACTCTCCAACCTATTTCTTTTAGCTAATCATTGGTGATAATTTCAGCAGCCATTCTACTGGTAACGGCTGTGGCCAAAACAGCAACCACATGTTCTGATTTTGTAAAACCGACTCTATTGGACTATTGGCATGTTGGCATGCGTGATGATAGTTCACTCACATTGTAGTACAGAAATGTAGGCTTGAAATGGCAATTGTGGAAACAAATCTTTGACTGAGCTTGATGCATGCTTTTCTTGGGAAGACAAATGATAACATTCTGTCAAATTAGATTAAGTGTGAAGATATTTTCTTTCAGGAACTTCAAAAGAATGAGACAGTGAAGAACTTGAAGATTGACAACAAGCAGACCCAAGGTACTGATTACTCTCTACACCAGATGACGTACCTGACCTCAGGAGTCCGCAGAACAACGGCAGCACAAAGCAAGGGTCATACACATCAACAGTGGCCTTGACCTCCTCCGATTCCATGACAACTGCAGGCTACACAGAGATACAGAGACATGAGTTGTGTCCAGCACAACTATAATACTGAAGTCTTCAGTATAGACAATACCCTCTTTGAGAAACTACTGTTAGGTTCCAAGATTAAGACAAATATATATAACGAGGACAAATTCCAGATTCAAAACAATAAACAGTGAATCCAGGCACAACCAAGGGATGTAATTCTGCAAATATATTTCTGCTGCCTTAAACTTGTGGAGCAGTAACACAACTGACTGAGATGACAGTAAGGACAGTACATGTTCAACACCAGGCACAAACACGAGCGTACACCACAACAGGTAGCAATGCATTTCAGTTCTACAGTTGGACAAGAGGAAGTAATCTTGTACCTCGATCTCTGAATGAGTGTGACATGTTTACAATAGGCACATGGCCAAACACTGTGACTGTTCCTTTATACTAATCAGCAATCTTCCAGTTGTATAACAATACAGTCTTGGACCCATGCCACCAGACGCTGTGTCACACAAGCTCACAAATCACCACTTGATGAAATAAAAGAGAATCATAACCTTATCTCATAAAAATGTCCCCAGAACCCATAGAGTAACATTCGATATCAAAACGTTTCAGTCTACCGTGAGCTTCCTGCTAATGGGGAAGTTTAAGGCTGACTTGTACATGTTGCGGACATTGAAGGCGTCCACAATCTGCTCCATGGACGGCTGCTTGAGGAGAGAGGAAGCCAGGGATTTCCTCAGGGCGTAGTGCTCTAACGCCTTGGGACCCCACAGGAACGGCCTGAGGAACAACAGTTACAGTGAACATTCACATATATATAGAACACCAGGTTTATTAATCACATAGAGAACACCAGGTTTATTAATCACATAGAGAACACCAGGTTTATTAATCACATATAGAACACCAGGTTTATTAATCACATAGAGAACACCAGGTTTATTAATCACATATAGAACACCAGGTTTATTAAATAGAATGATTAAAGTAGCATTACAAGTCAAATGTGATTACCAAAAACTACGATCAAATATAATATTGAACATAACAAGACATATTAACACACTACATAACAGCAACAGAGCTCTAGTCCACATTATATGGTCTCAATGTGGCACTGTCATGTGCTACATATTTCACAAGGAGCCATGATTATGCATCCTGATTCATGCAAAGCCACAGAAGGGATCCATCCCACCCCAGACTCACCACATGGGGGAGGAGATAAGGATATAGTTAAAGACACAAGGGTGATATAGTCCTGTTATAATCAAACATCATTCCCTCCAACTCTTCAGTAAACAGAAACAACCATAGGACTGAATGTGTAAAGCTAGCCAGTTCCAGTGGAAGCGAGATGAGTGATGTCCGGTAATTGTAGTGTATTGTAGTGTCATGGTAACCCATGGTAACGAGTGTCATGGTAACCCATGACATCACAATGGTCAGCAAAGCATTATGATCTAATTTCATTGTAGCAACATTACTGAGATCATCTCATGTGGCTGCCATGTTCTCCATGATAACTGGTTGGTTTCCCAGGTGTGTCTGAAACTGTTCACTGTTGTGGGGAAACAGACCTGTACAGACTTGGAGCAGGCAAACCGAGGTGGATGATGAGTCCAACCCTTGACCTCAGACTCCCGCATATCAAGGGAAGCAACTCTGCTGAGTCAACAGCTGCACTATAAACAAGTCCCTGCATTGTACTGTACAATGTTAAGGAAGCTCGGACTATGCTCCTGGGTCCACTGCGTGAGTGAGTGAGTGAGTGAGTTTAGTTTTACGCCGCACTCAGCAATATCCCAGCTATATGGCGGCGGTCTGTAAATAATCGAGTCTGGACCAGACAATCCAGTGATCAACAGCATGAGCATCTATTTGCCCAATTGGGAACCGATGACATGTGTCAACCAAGTCAGCGAAACTGACCACCTGATCCCGTTAGTCGCCTCTTACGACAAGCATAGTCGCCTTTAATGGCAAGCACATGGGTTGCTGAAGACCTATTCTACCCCGGATCTTCACGGGTCCACTGAGTATTTGAAGAAAGTCATCACTGTCTACATACCTGGCATCACTCAGCCCTTTACCATGTTTCTCATACACGAACATCATCTTCAGGAGTCTCTGGTCTGCAAATACAAGCAGCATGGTAATAGGTGGGATTGGGCTATTGCTAGGTACTGTATTGTGACAGTCAAAGAATCGTCTAGGCGTGGCTACAGATCACAGATGTATACAATGTTTACCTGTCTGTGACAATGTGGCTCCATATGCCCCCTGTAACACGGTGTAGTGACTAGGATCACAGATGTATACAACAGTTACCTGTCTGTGACAGTGTGGCTCCATATGTCCCTTGTAACACGGTGTAGTGACTGGGATCACAGATGTATACAACAGTTACCTGTCTGTGACAGAGTGGCTCCATATGTCCCTTGTAACACGGTGTAGTGACTGGGATCACAGATGTATACAACAGTTACCTGTCGGTGACAGTGTGGCTCCATATGCCCCCTGTAACACGGTGTAGTGACTGGGATCACAGATGTATACAACAGTTACCTGTCTGTGACAGTGTGGCTCCATATGTCCCTTGTAACACGGTGTAGTGACTGGGATCACAGATGTATACAACAGTTACCTGTAGGTGACAGTGTGGCTCCATATGTCCCTTGTAACACGGTGTAGTGACTGGGATCACAGATGTATACAACAGTTACCTGTCTGTGCCAGTGTGGCTCCGTATGCCCCCTGTAACACGGTGTAGTGACTGGGATCACAGATGTATACAACAGTTACCTGTCGGTGACAGTGTGGCTCCATATGCCCCTTGTAACACGGTGTAGTGACTGGGATCACAGATGTATACAACAGTTACCTGTCTGTGACAGTGTGGCTCCATATGTCCCTTGTAACACGGTGTAGTGACTGGGATCACAGATGTATACAACAGTTACCTGTCTGTGACAGTGTGGCTCCATATATGCCCCTTGTAACACGGTGTAGTGACTGGGATCACAGATGTATACAACAGTTACCTGTCTGTGACAGTGTGGCTCCATATGCCCCTTGTAACACGGTGTAGTGACTGGGATCACAGATGTATACAACAGTTACCTGTCTGTGACAGTGTGGCTCCATATGTCCCCTGTAACACGGTGTAGTGACTGGGATCACAGATGTATACAACAGTTACCTGTCTGTGACAGTGTGGCTCCATATGCCCCTGTAACACGGTGTAGTGACTGGGATCACAGATGTATACAACAGTTACCTGTCTGTGACAGTGTGGCTCCATATGCCCCTTGTAACACGGTGTAGTGACTGGGATCACAGATGTATACAACAGTTACCTGTCTGTGACAGTGTGGCTCCATATGTCCCCTGTAACACGGTGTAGTGACTGGGATCACAGATGTATACAACAGTTACCTGTCTGTGACAGTGTGGCTCCATATGCCCCTTGTAACACGGTGTAGTGACTGGGATCACAGATGTATACAACAGTTACCTGTCGGTGACAGTGTGGCTCCATATGCCCCCTGTAACACGGTGTAGTGACTGGGATCACAGATGTATACAACAGTTACCTGTCTGTGACAGTGTGGCTCCATATGCCCCCTGTAACACGGTGTAGTGACTGGGATCACAGATGTATACAACAGTTACCTGTCTGTGACAGTGTGGCTCCATATGCCCCTGTAACACGGTGTAGTGACTGGGATCACAGATGTATACAACAGTTACCTGTCTGTGACAGTGTGGCTCCATATGCCCCTGTAACACGGTGTAGTGACTGGGATCACAGATGTATACAACAGTTACCTGTCTGTGACAGTGTGGCTCCATATGCCCCTTGTAACACGGTGTAGTGACTGGGATCACAGATGTATACAACAGTTACCTGTCTGTGACAGTGTGGCTCCATATGCCCCCTGTAACACGGTGTAGTGACTGGGATCACAGATGTATACAACAGTTACCTGTCTGTGACAGTGTGGCTCCATATGCCCCTGTAACACGGTGTAGTGACTGGGATCACAGATGTATACAACAGTTACCTGTCTGTGACAGTGTGGCTCCATATGTCCCTTGTAACATGTAGTGACTGGGATCACAGATGTATACAACAGTTACCTGTCTGTGACAGTGTGGCTCCATATGCCCCCTGTAACACGGTGTAGTGACTGGGATCACAGATGTATACAACAGTTACCTGTCTGTGACAGTGTGGCTCCATATGCCCCTTGTAACACGGTGTAGTGACTGGGATCACAGATGTATACAACAGTTACCTGTCTGTGACAGTGTGGCTCCATATGCCCCTTGTAACACGGTAGTGACTGGGATCACAGATGTATACAACAGTTACCTGTCTGTGACAGTGTGGCTCCATATGCCCCTGTAACACGGTGTAGTGACTGGGATCACAGATGTATACAACAGTTACCTGTCTGTGACAGTGTGGCTCCATATGCCCCTGTAACACGGTGTAGTGACTGGGATCACAGATGTATACAACAGTTACCTGTCTGTGACAGTGTGGCTCCATATGTCCCTTAATAACACGGTGTAGTGACTGGGATCACAGATGTATACAACAGTTACCTGTCTGTGACAGTGTGGCTCCATATGCCCCTTGTAACACGGTGTAGTGACTAGGATCACAGATGTATACAACAGTTACCTGTCTGTGACAGTGTGGCTCCATATGTCCCTTGTAACACGGTGTAGTGACTGGGATCACAGATGTATACAACAGTTACCTGTCTGTGACAGAGTGGCTCCATATGTCCCTTGTAACACGGTGTAGTGACTAGGATCACAGCATTCTGAGTTGGTTTCAACCAGAGTCAACAGGAGATTCACCATCTGATCTGAAGAAAGGAAAATTTTCTTAGATTAAATCTTATTAGATCCAATAATGGCAATACACGTTAAATGACATATTGGAAAGCCATAACTTGAGCCTAGTGACTGCACGAGTTGTATGATCCCCAGGGAGTTGAGATTGAAAATATGGTGTGCCATTGAGATTGGCATCCAATGATCGAGGGAAAACAAAGCACTTTGAGCATGCATGTGAGTGAGTGAGTGAGTTCAGTTTTACGCCACACTCGGCAATATTCCAGCTATATGGCGGCAGTCTGTAAATAATCAAGTCTGGACCAGACAATCCAGTGATCAACAGCATGAGCATCGATCTGCGCAATTGGGAACCGATGACACGTGTCAACCAAGCCAGCGAGCCTGACCACCCGATCCCGTTAGTTGCCTCTTACTACAAGCATGGGTTACTGAAGGTTCATTCTAACCCGCACCTTCATGGGTAGCATGCATGTAGATGGGATGGACCATAGCACTATATAAATACCCATACGGTGTTCAGAAACACAGTCTCAATCTGTCTGTTCAAAGGGATACACATTTCAAAAGAAAGCGACTTTCCATGCTCCACGGGATGTACTGCCATACAATCTCCACCATCCATTACACATTCCAAAATTGTCTTCTGTTCAGTTCAAATTTCTAATGGATGAAAGTTAACAGTTTGAATCAAGTTTGAAGCTTAAAGCAACTTAGCATCTTAATTGTCAGCCCAAGTTTGCAAAGGTCGTCCGATGTGATCTGTAAAGGATGTCCTCAAACCTTTGTGAAGTGGTAGTGACAACTAAGATCTGATTTTAATGAGATTGGTTTACTTTTTATCGTTCAGCAGAAAAAAGTCCTTAAGTCATACAAACAGTATGCAGTGGAATCTGGAATTACATGAACTACCGTGAACCATGCAGCAGTACTTCTCTATGGCTGCCCGAGGTGTCATGTTGAAAGTACCGTGCAAGTAGCTGAGCAATCTGAGAGATACTTACCTTTGACCTCCTGACCTTTCTCCCCAAGCATGACCAGCATGAACTGTGAGTGGCTCATCAGCATCTCATACAGCATTGTGATTGGTGGAGACACGTCATGTGACTCTACATACACCAGTGGAACCAGCCTGTCAATCACCTTCAGTAGCATGGGTTCACAAAATAGAACTCTGAAAAAAAAGCCCAGGTCAAGGTGAAGGTCAACATTGTTAACACAACTAGCAACCACTACATGGGCTGATGGAGGAAGATGTTTCAAACTATGTTCCAAAAGCATGGAAGCTGAAACAACATCAGGGATAGTAGACCAGTGGTCTATATATGCTACAGTATGCTATGTGTTGCAGTATACATGGTGGTATATTTCTGCTATGGTATGGTATACCAGTATGTATTTCTGGTATTGTATGTTCAGGATATACTGCTATATATGCTACAGTATGCTATATGTTGCAGTATATACCATATGTATTTCTGGTATTGTATGTTCAGGATATACTGCTATAGATGCTACAGTATGCTATATGTTGCAGTATATGTCGTACCCATGAAGATCTGGTTTAGAATTCGTCTTCAGCAACCCATGCTTGTTGTAAGAGGTGACTAACGGAATTGGGTGGTCAGGCTCGCTGACTTGGTTCACATATCATTGTATCCCAGTTGCATAGATCGATGCTCATGATGTTTGATCACTGGATTGTCTGGTCCAGACTCTGTTATTTACAGATTGACACCATATAGCTGGAATATTGCTGAGTGTGGCGTTAAACAACAAACAAACAGTATGTGGCTTGATAAAGGCTGTGCTATATGTTGCTGAACATATGTTGCGGTATATGATAGGTGTATGTTGCATATTTTGTGAATTGTGGTATAACATGTTGTTATATTCTACAGTGTGGCTTGAAACCATTTCTGACAAAACTGAATCCAGGCATTTCTAGGATTAGCAGCGATACTAAATCCACCATTAACAGTTAGATCCTGTAGTACATGGGACTGAATCATACATAACGGAAGATCAGAACATTGATAAGTTTGTCGTTTGCCTGAACAGTAACAAATCTAAAGCTATTCACTATAAATCGCATGTGTTGTATTCTCCACTTACTTCAGACCAACTTTGACAAAGTCCAACCACTCAGCCAGAATCTTGTCTGTGCTTGTCACACTTTTAGCATTCTGAAAAATAATCACATCATGATCATGAACAAAGTTTTATTCATCAAGATTATTTCAGGATATAAAACCTGGAGAGAGTGTGCTCACCTGTATCACCTGATGTTGTGCTCACCTGTACCTAGAGTGTGCTCACCTGTATCACCCTGGGCCATGACCTTGAGAGTGTGCTCACCTGTATCGTCTGGGCCATGACCTTGAGAGTGTGCTCACCTGTATCACCTGGGCCATGACCTTGAGAGTGTGCTCACCTGTATCACCTGGGCCATGACCTTGAGAGTGTGCTCACCTGTATCACCTGGGCCATGACCTTGAGAGTGTGCTCACCTGTATCACCTGGGCCATGACCTTCAGAGTGTGCTCACCTGTATCACCTGGGCCATGACCTTGAGAGTGTGCTCACCTGTATCACCTGGGCCATGACCTTGAGAGTGTGCTCACCTGTATCACCTGGGCCATGACCTGACCTCACCTGTATCACCTGGGCCATGACCTTCAGAGTGTGCTCACCTCACCTGTATCACCTGGGCCATGACCTTGAGAGTGTGCTCACCTAGTCCTTGAGAGTGTGCTCACCTGTATCATCTGACCTGAGAGTGTGCCCCTGTATCCCATGTTGAGAGTCACTCCCAGCACTCACCTGTATCACCTGCCATGACCTTGAGAGTGTGCTCACCTCTGGGCCATGACAGTGCTCACCTGCCCCTGGGCCATGAGGGGCCATGATCCCGGGCCATGACCCAGAGTGTGTATCACCTGGGCCATGACCTTGAGAGTGTGCCCCTGCACCCCGACAGTTGATGACGCACACCTGTATCAGCCTGGGCTGCCTTGGGAGTGTGCTCACCTGTATCACCTACCTTGAGAGCATAGTCCTCTACATCTTGGTCCCTCCCAAGCACTCTCAAGTGTCCTCATCAGTAGCCCGAGGGAGATCCCGGTGTCCCCCTGCACCCCGACAGTTGGGTACAAGTACCTCCAAATGACCTCTCTGGTGTCCACACAGACCTGATGACAGCTCAGACCACATCTTGGCTGCCTTCTTTTCTCCTGTAAATACATCGATGTGATCAAGAGGTTTTCCTTTCTTCAATATCCACATACATGGAATGTATCTGTTGCCATCCCTCCAGTGTATTCAGTGAGTTGATCAGTCAAATTTGTTTAACACTGCAGACAGCAATATTCCAGCAGAGGTCTTCATTATTTGAGTCAGGACCACAGAAACTAGTGGCATCATCAAGAGGCAAGAAAGTGAACTGACTACCAAGACTGGAATTGTTGTAGTGAAACCATTCCCTCCAATTGGTCAGTCAGATTCCATCTATCATATTACTTGCATTACAAGACATTCCGACCAACTTAAACAAAACAATCTTAGCAGTACAATTATTGTAAATCCTTAAGATCGTGCTTTAGGCATCGGAACCACTTGCACAAATCACTTGTAGGCCAAGATCATTGTAAACTACACACAAAACATCAAGAAAACTGCATAGACACTAAAACTTCACAGGTGGAAATGAGACTTGTATACTCTCATGCCTCAGGGAGCCAAACATATGGATGAGATCTGAACCTTCATCTCACACAACTGGGGTATCAAGCAGATCCAGTCCATCTCTAGTGACAAGTAACACCTTGTCTGTACTGATACCAGTACCGAGCCAGGGTTATCCAGTTCATCTCTAGTGACAAGCAACACCTTGTCTGTACTGATACCAGTACCGAGCCAGGGTTATCCAGTCCATCTCTAGTGACAAGCAACACCTTGTCTGTACTGATACCAGTACCGAGTCAGGGTTAATGCAGACACAAATGATAATAATTAACGCTTCTCTCCTTGAAATCATGATACACTCAGCTTTGCAAGATCACAGTGAAAGTATTCAGGATTCCAATGTTTACTGCACTAGCAAGGAAAAGAGAAAGGAATGTTGGATCTAAAGTGTCCCCAAACCGACTCACCAATACAGTTCTCCTGGACAAGAGTACACACTATGTTGATGACAGCAGCATCTGTCTCGGTGAGAAGGTCTACTGTGCTGGTCAAATACATCTTCTCCACTGTCTTCACACACTGCTGGTTACTGGGGTTCTTTCCTGGAATGTAATGGAATAACAGATGCAATTTCACTCATGCCAATTCATAAACACCAAGGATGAATTTGTTGACAATTCATGAATTTTAGAAACATTACCATAATGACAAAGGCTGTCAAACAGACATTCCCTTCAACAATGTGGTATGTGCACTTCCAGTATCACAGTCTAATGTAAGAATTGAAAACAGGATTCTGTGCTTCCAGTTACATCAGTAAGAAAGCTGTCCACCCATGGGCCCTGCTTACCTCTAGACATCATCAGGACATAAGAGGAAGCAAGATCCTCCAACTGCTACTCTCAAGCTTTAACAACACAACAGATTTCTGGATACATGCCTACAGTATTCCCGAGTGGTTTCCTGACCCATCACACTAATCTGGAATTGGAACCAGAGGAATCAAATAAAGCAGTACCTGACTCCTTCCTTCCTGCCAGACGCAGGTAGGTCATGATGACCTCACCATATAATCCCCTGTCCTTCCTCACTCGCTCCACAGATCTCAGCAACCAGTCCTCAAACTCTGTCCTCAGTACCATGTTCTGGCACAGTATTCTCGTCACCATAGCAACTCGACCAGTGGTTAAGTTATCCAGCATATAGTTCCACAGCTCCCTACTCACAGCCAGGCAATAAGCAGGCTGGACTTTCAGTAAATTACGACAAAAATCCTCTAAAATTCATCTCTGGATGCGGTCATCAAATCCATCAAGGTTGATACTTTAGCAAAAGGCAGGAGTTGTCTCCCTTTAGACCTCTCTTGCAATTCAGCAAGTGATTTTGTGGCCAGATTTATCACAAGCTCACCAGCTTTGGAAAGTTTCTTTGATTTACCCTTAGATACAAGAACACTGGATGGAAACTCCAGCAGCTGTTCCAGGAATCTGCCAAAATAACCAGCAGGGTCTAGGAATGGCAGGAGAGCTTCCACACACCGGAACACAAGCTGTCGAGATTCTGTACTGGATTCTGTGAGAACAGCCTGTAGTGACTTTAAAACCCGTTCTGCGTATACACTGAAAACGTCCCACAGGGTGGGGTCTGCTACAACATCCTTCAAGTCCATCAGCAGCGTCATCATCTGCTCTGTAAGGAGAGAGTCAACATCCAGTGTTTTGAAGGAGATGGCCCCAAGGAAAGCTGCTTTCAGTGTTGGGTGCTGGAATATGGTGTGAAGAACACTGGTCAACATGTCCTGGCCCGACTTCTGACTGGCCTCAAGTATCTCAAACTCAGCTGATATTTCCCCAGCTTCTTGGGACTTGGTACCTTGGGAATACGAGAGCATCTTCCTGACAACAACTCTCAGAAGGTTGAAGTATGTCTTGAGTGACTTCTCGGCAGTGCTCTCCATCTTTGGGAGAAGAAATGACATCATCATTTTGTGATTTGAAACTGAAGGTAAATATTCATCCTCATTATGGAAATTACAACTATTACAATATAGTTTTAAACACCCAAAGAATGCTCCATAAAATGTCAGAATTGGAAATTTTAACCATAAATTGTATATTTATATACGAAGTAGCGACAAGAAAGAGAATGACAGGCACAGAACGTCACATGATCATCTGAGCGATCTGCACGCTTATTGAGATGATTGACAAGTACTGCTATCAGAGTGGGGGCAGAGGTCAGGTGGTCAGAGGACAGGAAGTTTTGATTCAACTTAGCCTACAGCATGTTTCCACACATGGTCGTAGAAGAAGAAGAGAGGTGCATACCATGAGATAGGATAAGTTTAAAAATTCAGTCTCTAGAAACAGATCATGACATAAACATTTGGAACTTTTCTTGAACATTTTAAAATTACTTACATTCTTCAACAGTGATACAGATGATTTCATACAGAAGTCACTATAAGTCTTCATTAACAGAGTGAACATTACTGGCTATAGTTCTATATATTTTATTATATTTCTTCTTAATATTTCCTCCTAACAACTGAGATCTCTGACTAGAGTGAATGTCCTACCTGCTGCAGGTTGTGCACAATGTGCCTGACACACAGAAGTAGTTGTTGGGCCAGCAGTACTGACTCGCTCACACCGACACTCTCCACAGCCGACACCAGGGAGTCGGTCAACTGGTCGGCCACCTGGGGGTCACTCCACAACACCTGCACCAGCACAGCAGGGTTGGACGAACGTCTGTCGGACTTCAGAGGCTTCCAAGGCTGATACAAATGATCGAGGTCCTCATCTTCATTTACATTGAAACTACTGATACTCAGAATACAGGGCGGATACAGCTTTTTGAGAAAGAGGGGTGCACAGTACCGTTTTCACGAGAGCTTGAATGGTCATTTAATAAACATCCCTGCACCCCCACTCTGGATCCGCCTATGGAACATACATATTAATTGATATTAAACTGGGTCTCATGTATGCCATGTGTTGTTTTACCTTGTTCACATCCTGGAATCTCAAGCTAACATCGTCAGTGATGAATGGTGTGACCAAGAACACACATTCAACCATTTGACTGGTCTTCACTATGGCCACATCCCAGCACTTTCTTACACCACCACCTTTCTGCCTACCAGTAAACTTGCATTACTGCTCTGATTATAACTCGTCTGAAAATGGTCCTAGTGGATCATATTGATAGGAGTGAATATACCTTATCAATCTGTATGTGAAATTAAACTATCAACATACAAATGCCACTATTGAAATATCACTTTGTCAGATTGCTTCAATAGGAAAAACCAAATATCCTCTATAAATAATAAAATACTGACAGTATTCCAGCTATACAACCTGTCAACAGTCGGGTCTGGTCCAGACAGACCAGAGCCTGATACCATGAGCTACGATCCACATCATCGGGATACAGCGATATGCTGCCAACCATGATACTGTGCCCAACCATTCAGTCCACCAATTTTATTTAATGACCATTGAAGCTTCGGTGAAAAATGAAATGTGCACCCTCCCTTTTCTCAATAGTATGCACCCCCCCTTTCTAAAATGCTGTATCCGCCTCTGGACAAGCTCTACGTTGCTGGAGACCAGTTCTTACTATCCATGATGGCGACGTACCTTGGAACTGTGCATCCAGGAAGTGATGTACTGAGCGTGTGTGGAACTGGCTGGCTGGTGTCTACTCACTAGGGTAGCGTAGGCAATCGGGTCAACTTGGGTGTGGAAGATATCCAACATGGCAGCCGAGAAGTAGTCCAAAACTGATGCAAGATGGCAGATTTAAAAATCCAGACTGTACATACTGTGATAGCAGTCAAATGTGTCTTTGACACACATATCATTCAATGGGCAACAACAACAGCAGAACATCAACTGTCTGTCATGACTAACAAATCTGTCACTGACCCTCACACACACCTGTCACTGACTCACACAACTATCACTGACTCTCACATAACTGTCACTCACCCTTACACACATCTGTCACTGACCCTCACACACAACTGTCACTGACTCACACACAACTGTCACTGACTCACACACAACTGTCACTGACCCTCACACACAACTGTCACTGACTCACACACAACTGTCACTGACCCTCACACACAACTGTCACTGACTTACACACACCTGTCACTGACCCTCACACACAACTGTCACTGAACTTAACACACCTGTAACTGACCCTCACACAACTGTCACTGACTCACACACAACTTTCACTGATCCTCACATACAACTGTCACTGACCCTCACACACAACTGTCACTGACCCTCACACACAACTGTCACTGACCCTCACACACCTGTCACTGACTCACACACAACTGTCACTGACCCTCACACACACCTGTCACTGACTCTGACACACCTGTCACTGATCCTCACCCTCACACACAACTGTCACTGGAACTCACTGACCCTCACACCTGTCACTGGACCTTCCTCACACAACTGTCACTGACTCACACACACACTGTCACTGACCCTCACACACAACTGTCACTGAACTCACACACACCTGTCACTGACCCTCACACACAACTGTCACTGACCCTCACACACACAATGTCACTGGATCCTCACATACAACTGTCAATCACCCTGACATACAACTGTCACACACACACCTGTCACTGACCCTCACACACACCTGTCACTGACCCTCACACAACTGTCACTGAACTCACATCTGTCACTGACCGTCACACACAACTGTCACTGACCCTCACACACAACTGTCACTGACCCTCACATACAACTGTCACTGACCCTCACACACAACTGTCACTGACCCTCACACACAACTGTCACTGACCCTCACACACAACTGTCACTGACTCTCACACACACCTGTCACTGACTCTCACATACAACTGTCACTGACCCTCACATACAACTGTCACTGACCCTCACACACAACTGTCACTGACCTCACATACAACTGTCACTGACTCTCACAGCCCCTCACAACTGTCACTGACCCTCACACACACCTGTCACTGACCCTCACACAACTGTCACTGACCCTCACACACACCTGTCAATCACCCTCACACACAACTGTCACCACACACACCTGTCACACACACACTGTCAACTGACAATCACCCTCACATACAACTGTCACTGACCTCACACACACACTGACCCTCACACAACTTCATGGACCCTCACACACAACTGTCACTCACCTCACACACACACCTGTCACTACACATTCCTCACATACACACATACAACTGTCACTGGACTCCTCACACACAACTGTCAAGGACCCTCACATACAACTGTCAATGACTCTCACACACAACTGTCACTGACCTTCACACACACCTGTCACTGACTCCTCACTACACACCTGTCACACCCTCACACACAACTGTCACTGACCCTCTCACACACCTGTCACCGACCCTCACATACAACTGTCACTGACTCTCACACACCTGTCACTGACCCTCACATACACCTGTCACTGACCTTCACACAACTGTCACTGACTCATACACAACTGTCACTGACCCGCACACACAACTGTCACTGACCCTCACAATAAACTGTCACTGACCCTCACACACAACTGTCACTGACTCACACACACCTCTCACTGACTCACACACAACTGTCACTGACTCACACACAACTGTCACTGACCCTCACACACAACTGTCACTGACCCTCACACACATCTGTCACTGACCACACACAACTGTCACTGACCCTCACACACAACTGTCACTCACTCTCACACCTCAACTGTCACACACCTGTTGCTCACACACAACTGTCACTGTCACACACCTGTCACACACACACATATCTGTCACTGACCTTCTGTCACTGATCCTCACACCACCTCCACATACACTGTCACTGACTCTCACACACACCTGTCACTGTTCACTGACCCTCACACACACCTGTCACTGACCTCACACACAACTGTCACCCTGTCACCCACCCTCCACATGTCACTGTCAATCACCCTCACTACACACCTCACCGACTCACACATACTATCACTGACATACACAACTGTCACCGACTCACACACACCTGTCACTCGACCTTCACAACTGTCACCGACTCAATGCACACACTCACACACACAACTGTCACTGACCCTCACACACACACCTCATACACTGACACACAACTCGTCACACAACTGTCACTGACCCTCACACACACCTGTCACTGACTCACACACACCTCACTGACCTCACACACACTGTCACACAACCGTCACTCCCTCACACACACTGTCACTGACTCTCACACACACCTGTCACCTTCACACATTACCTCACACACACCTGTCACTGACTCACACACACCTGTCACCGACCCTCACATACACCTGTCACTGACTCACACACACAACTGTCCTCACCTCACACACAACTGTCACTGACACTCACACAACTGTCACTGACTCTCACACAACTGTCACTGACCCTCAGATCACTGACACCTGTCACTGACTCTCACACACCTGTCACTGACTCTCACACACCTGTCACTGACCCTCACATACACCTGTCACTGACCTTCACACAACTGTCACTGACTCATACACACCTGTCACTGACCTTCACACAACTGTCACTGACTCACGCACACACCTGTCACTGACCTTCACACAACTGTCACTGACTCACACACAACTGTCACTAACCCTCATAAACATCTGTCACAGACTCTCACACACAACTGTCACTGACCTCCTGTGTTGTCCCTGTATTGCTCATCTGTGTTCAACATGTCCAAGCCAATCAGTGTAAGTGGGCTGAAGGGGAACCTGCCAATCAGAAGACATTCAAGTATCACCAGGATGTGCCGTCACCAACTAACATACAACATCTAGCCTCTCACATCATAACATGCCTTGACACATCAAATCGAACAAAACCTTGGATTCATTTATCATGAAGTTTAATGGGACAGCCATGCCACACAATCCTTGGTATACCTATTTTGAGTGGGTTGCTTATCAGGTTGATCCATTTTAACATCTTTGTTTGTTGACGTGTCCCAATCTTCTCCAAAATCCATAGCTAAAATCTCTGAAATAAAGAAAGTACATCTGTTAGTAACACTTCCTTACACCAGCCAGCACGTGAGAACACACTGCAATCAAGCCACTAGTACTACATTTATACCATGTGAAGGTAATCTCTGTTATACTGCTGTATTTCCTCACTCATGATGCTGGCTTTAAAACCATCTGAGACCTTAAAATCTTAGACAAAACAGTGGAATAAAACTAGGTCCGGTGTCAACGACACAAAGCCTCACCAGATGCCATGACTATGACTGTATTCCATCAGGTCTTACAATATAACACAAGGGGACCTGAGATGAAAGCCAGAGTTTTACACACTGTAGCCAACTCGGGATTCAAACTTGGATCTCAGTGTGATACACAAACACATGATCCATCAGGTTAGCCAAACCAGGTGGATCAACTCCATGGCATGGACACCTGACACTACACCTCTCACCTGTGATTGTCTTCTTCTCCGTCTGGGTTCCCAGGTGGTTCAACTCCACGGCATGGACACCTGACACTACACCTCTCACCTGTGATTGTCTTCTCCTCCGTCTGGGTTCCCAGGTGGATCAACTCAACGGCATGGACACTACACCTCTCACCTGTGATTGTCTTCTCCTCCGTCTGGGTTCCCAGGTGGATCAACTCAACTGCATGGACACCTGACACTACACCTCTCACCTGTGATTGTTTCTCTCCGCCTGGGTTCCCAGGTGGGATCAACTCAACGGCATGGACACCTGACACTACACCTCTCACCTGTGATTGTGTCTTCTCCTCCGCCTGGGTTCCCAGGTGGATCAACTCAACGGCATGGACACCTGACACTACACCTCTCACCTGTGATTGTCTTCTCCTCCGTCTGGGTTCCCAGGTGGATCAACTCAACGGCATGGACACCTGACACTACACCTCTCACCTGTGATTGTCTTCTCCTCAGTCTGGGTTCCCAGGTGGATCAACTCCATGGCATGGACACCTGACACTACACCTCTCACCTGTGATTGTCTTCTCCTCCGTCCTGGGTCCCAGGTGGATCAACTCCAACAGCATGGGACACCTGACACTACACCTCTCACCTGTGATTGTCTTCTCCTTCGCCTGGGTTCCCAGGTGGATCAACTCAACGGCATGGACACCTGACACTACACCTCTCACCTGTGATTGTCTTCTCCCTCCGTCTGGGTTCCCAGGTGGTTCAACTCAACAGCATGGACACCTGACACTACACCTCTCACCTGTGATTGTCTTCTCCTCAGCCTGGGTTCCCAGGTTGACACCCTGACACTACACCTCTCACCTGTGATTGTCTTCTCCTTCAACCTGGGTTCCCAGGACAACTCTGCATTGACACCTGACACTACACCTCTCACCTGTGATTGTCTTCTCCTCCGCCTGGGTTCCCAGGTGGATCAACTCCCACAGCATGGACACCTGACACTACACCTCTCACCTGTGATTGTCTTCTCTCCGCCTGGGGTTCCCAGGTGGATCAACTCCAACGACATGGACACCTGACACTACACCTCTCACCTGTGATTGTCTTCTCCTCAGTCTGGGTTCCCAGGTGGATCAACTCAACGGCATGGACACCTGACACTACACCTCTCACCTGTGATTGTCTTCTCCGTCTGGGTTCCCAGGTGGATCAACTCAACGACATGGACACCTGACACTACACCTCTCACCTGTGATTGTCTTCTCCTCCGTCTGGGTTCCCAGGTGGATCAACTCCACAGCATGGACACCTGACACTACACCTCTCACCTCATGCATTGTCTTCTCCTCAGTCTGGGGTTCCCAGGTGGATCAACTCCCACAGCATGGACACCTGACACTACACCTCTCACTCAAGTGATTGTCTTCTCCTCCGCCTGGGTTCCCAGGTGGATCAACTCCCACAGCATGGACACCTGACACTACACCTCTCACCTGTAGATTGTCTTCTCCTCAGTCTGGGTTCCCAGGTGGATCAACTCAACGACATGGACACACCCTGACACTACACCTCTCACCTCAAGCGATTGTCTTCTCCTCAGTCTGGGTTCCCAGGTGGATCAACTCCACCATGGACACCTGGACACTACACCTCTCACCTGTGATTGTCTTCTCCTCCTGCCTGGGTTCCCAGGTGGATCAACTCCACAGCATGGACACCTGACACTACACCTCGCACCTGTGATTGTCTTCTCCTCCGCCTGGGTTCCCCAGGTGGGATCAACTCAACGGCATGGACACTCTGACACTACACCTCTCACCTGTGATTGTCTTCTCCTCCGCCTGGGTTCCCAGGTGGATCAACTCAACGGCATGGACACCTGACACTACACCTCTCACCTGTGATTGTCTTCTCTCCGCCTGGGTTCCCAGGTGGATCAACTCCACACGCATGGACACCTGACACTACACCTCTCACCTGTGATTGTCTTCTCCTCCGTCTGGGTTCCCAGGTGGATCAACTCAACGGCATGGACACCTGACACTACACCTCTCACCTGTGATTGTCTTCTCCTCCGTCTGGGTTCCCAGGTGGATCAACTCAACGCATGGACACCTGACACTACACCTCTCACCTGTGATTGTCTTCTCCTCCGTCTGGGTTCCCAGGTGGATCAACTCCACAGCATGGACACCTGACACTACACCTCTCACCTGTGATTGTCTTCTCCTCCGTCTGGGTTCCCAGGTGGATCAACTCAACAGCATGGACACCTGTGACACTACACCTCTCACCTGTGATTGTCTTCTCCTCCGTCTGGGTTCCCAGGTGGATCAACTCCACAGCATGGACACCTGACACTACACCTCTCACCTGTGATTGTCTTCTCCTCTGTCTGGGTTCCCAGGTGGATCAACTCAACGGCATGGACACCTGACACTACACCTCTCACCTGTGATTGTCTTCTCCTCAGTCTGGGTTCCCAGGTGGATCAACTCAACGGCATGGACACCTGACACTACACCTCTCACCTGTGATTGTCTTCTCCTCCGTCTGGGTTCCCAGGTGGATCAACTCAACGGCATGGACACCTGACACTACACCTCTCACCTGTGATTGTCTTCTCCTCCGTCTGGGTTCCCAGGTGGATCAACTCAACGGCATGGACACCTGACACTACACCTCTCACCTGTGATTGTCTTCTCCTCCGTCTGGGTTCCCAGGTGGATCAACTCAACGGCATGGACACCTGACACTACACCTCTCACCTGTGATTGTCTTCTCCTCCGTCTGAGATCCCAGGTCTGCATGCTGCAGGTTATCTACAGCGACCCCCGCCACGATGTCCGTCACTCGGATCCATGTAGGGGTAGGGGTTGCTCACAAACATGGTCATCATTCTAGCAGTGAAGTCCACTACATCTGGCACCATGGTGACAGCGAGGTGACGCAGCCATATTGCTAGCTCCTGGTCCTGGTCTTGGAAGAGTCCAGTACTCTGTAGCAGCTGTAGACAGAGTCAAATAATTCACATGCCTTCTCAATGTTTATTGAGTACATCTTTACTTGTATAAGACTCCTGGCTCACTTCCTCAATTGTAGACCCATGAAGATCCGGGTTGGAATTGATCTAGGATGGGATGGTCGGGCTCGCTGACTTGGTTGACACATGTCATTGTATCCCAATTGTATAGATCGATGCTCATGCTGATCACTGAATTGTCTGGTCCAGACTCGATTATTTACAGACTGCCTCCACATAGCTGGAATATTGCTGAGTGCGATGTTAAACAACAAACAAACCAACCAACAAAAACCTATATCGTAAATAACAAATGATAACTCTAAATGACACTGCCGAACACCTACCTCCGCCACCAGGTGTTGTGTGACTTCCTTCAGCTTCCGGCTGGCCGACACCTTGGTGGTCATCTCCAACAGCAGATACATCAGACTGTGCCGCGCGGCATTCTGGAATACCATCACATGTCAAGGATGGCCAACCACCAACAGCCATGTCACATTGAATCATCATTGCAAATATCTTTTCTCACAATTACAAGTTTTTACTGATGGTGGTTGATATTCATTCAGTTTAAAGAGAAACTCCTATATCCTCACATCCCTAGTCTCGATAAATTGTCTTAAATGTCTTAACCAGTAGTGATCTGGTTTCGGCTCTAACTCTGACATATGAATCAGCTCACAGCTTCTGATACTTCAGTTACGTCATACAAGTAACTACATGGTTCACAAAGGACTGCCCAGACAGTCAGATACCTCTTTAGCCCAGGGCAGCTGCCTGGCATCGGTTCCTGCAAGCAGCTTCAGAAGGTACAGCTGGGGGAGCATCCTGTCTTCATCCTGTCCCCCGTCACCCTCACCGACTCCCCTGACCCCCTCCAGGAGACTGCTGACGTGGTGGGGGCTGTCGGACAACATGGTGGGGACCAGCTCCTGGTAGAGACACATCACCTGCTGCAGCCTCACTATGTGCTGGATGCTGGCCACGCTGGGAATATCTGACGTGGATGATGGAGAGGTTATGTTACATGACTGGCTGAGAAGGAACACACCACTGCTGGTATAAACTCCCCTCTCATACACGTTATTATCATGAAGAAGTGGGGCAGGGTCAATATGTAGTCAACAACGATAAGAAGTAACGTCTTCACTCACACAAAGTGCTACCTTATATATTATTATTATAGGATATTTATACAGCGCACATATCAAGGCAACTAGTGTATGCTCAAGGCGCTGTATTTTTTCCCTCGATCATTGGATGTTAATCTCAACGGCACATCGTATTATCAATCTCAACTCCCTGGGGAGTATACAACTCTTGCAGCCACTAGGTGCACCGAGTTATTGTGGCTTTCCCATCCTAACAAGGTGCCCATTCACAGCTGGGTGGACTGGGACACATAGTCACAGTACTTTGTCCAAGTTCACTGCACATTGCTGTACCCGCAACTAGGTGTTTGCACGTATTTATGTGGCCACCATCTGGTCATATACCAACGGATTCATGGGTTCTTTTAAGTATACAGGGTTGTGTGCTGTACACTAGGGGTTGTGACAACACTGAAAGAGTCTGCACACAAAGTTGACTCCAAGGTTTTTACACCCGGTCACAGGTGGGCTCGATCCCGACACCTCAACCTCACTGGATCACTAGCCTGGCACCTTAGCCAGCTTGCCCACCATGCCCCTGGAGTTTGTGATGTGTCCAAAAGCAGTCATTATCTGCCTCAACACTGGAATGTAGCAACCTGATTGTCACTGGCAAGTATGTACCAAACACACAAAGACAATGGTTATTTCAGAGTTACGCCAACTACTCACCCTCTTTTGATACATCTTTGTTGGGCTGGGTCCTCTCTGCCATCATCTTCGTCCAGCAGCCCAGCAGGGTGGCAGCATCCGGGAGCTTCTGTAATCAATACACAGGGTGTGTGGGTACAGCAATATGTTAGACAGACAGATAGACAGACAGTCGGTTGATACAGCACTGCAACAGATGGATGGAAAACACAAAGTTTGTGTCAGACACCTTCACAACAGCCTGTTCTCTGCATCACCTTCAACTGACCTTCAACAGAGACTCCTTCAGTCGAGGGCCCAGCTGTGCAAGGGAGGGGTCAGAAGAGTCCGCCAGACTCCGGACATTGGTCAGGATGTGCAGCGCCCTCTGCAGTGCCACCTTCAGGAAGTCCAGGATCTTGTGCCTCACTGGCTGAGAGGATTGCTGTGGTAACAGAATATACTGAACATCATAATGTACAAGCACAAAAACAATACCAGCATTTCAATGACTTTACTTATTGCATTTAGTCACACCTGTGTGAACTGTTAGCCACATCTCTCTTTCTGGACTCAAACTAGTGGGGCGGTTAAGGCCAGGATTTTGTCAAAATTGTGCACTTTGGGTTAAAAGCACCAAAATTGGCACACTTATATATTGAACCATTCCGAACATTTCTGGATATGGATCCACCTCAGCAGTGCCCCCTGGTGGCAGAAAATCCAAGATGGCCGGCAATTTGACTGAAATCTCTAATGATGTCAGTCTATGCTCAACATATCATAATTATCTTATCATATTCAGTATTTTCTTTCAGGATTATTCTTAACATTACTCTATATATTCCTAATTTAATACGCAGATGGCCACCAAAATAACCTAATTTTCACAGAATGAACTCTGACATTACTTCTCCGCCACCATGCTGCTTGCGAAGGTGACGACAGACCCCAGATTTACACTGTAATATATCTAAAGAGGCCTGAATAGTATTTACTTATTCCTACAGAAGGGCGACTACACAAATAGCAACACATAGGCAACTGTTGTGTACATCAACGTCTATGTTAGCAGTTCTGACCTTGAGACCCCAGGTGAAGGTCGACATGACCTTGTCTGGAGGCAGGACTAACACCAGGGACATCGCGACGAGGTTCAGGTGTGCACTCGGGAGCTTGGTGCTCAGGAAGCTGAGCTCAGTAGGTTGGGCCTCGTAAATCTGTAACATTCAGACACAGTGAAGCAAAGTCTCCTTTCTGGCATGTTCATTACCATTCCTTCAACTGCTTCATAGTGAAACAACAGAGGTTTGAAGTGACAAGTTGAACTTCTTAGAGGCTGCAGGGTTGACACAGATGGCACAGTGCCTATTTCAGCACAATATCTCACCAAGTCTTGCAATAATAATATAATGCTTCCGCCTTGTTTCTACATTGCTTTTACACAGCTTCTTCACAACACTGCACACACTGTGCAACAGTACTATATTGTATCTGAACTGTTTCAACCCTGTTTCCACACTGTTTCAACCCTGTTTCCACACTGTGTCTACATTTCCACCCTTCATGTTCACTGTTTGACTGTATACAGAGGCCTTTTCTGTATTGTATCCACACTGCTTCTATGCTCTTTGTACCAATTTTCTGCCATGTTTCTATGTTTGTGCATTGTTTCTGCCTTGTACGGTTTCTACATGTAAACCGTGTATATACTGTTTCTATATCATTTCTGCATCATGCAAGCACTTTTTGACATTGTATATGAAACATTTCTGCAACGATTCTACCCTGATTCCATATTGTTTCTCATTGTTTCTACTCTTCTGTACTGTACAGTTTTTACACCACTTTTCTATTGTACCTGTACTGTTTCTATTTGTTTAAAAAATATTTCTACACTGTTTGAACGACCTTTCTGCAATGTTTCTGCACCTTTTCCACACAGTTTCCACTTGCTTTCTGCACAGTTTCCACACACTTTCTACTTGCTTTCTGCACAGTTTCCACACACTTTCTGCACTGTTTCTGCACACTTTCTACTTGCCTTCTGCACACCCTCTGCTACAGTTTCCACACCATAAGTTTCTACTTACTTTCTGCACAGTTTCCACACACTTTCTACTTACTTCTGCACTGTTTCCACACTTTCTACTCTGCTTCTGCACACTTTCTGCTTGCTTCTCTACAGTAGTGTTTCCACAAGTTTCCACACACTTTCTACTTACTTTCTGCACAGTTTCCACACTTTCTACACTGTTTCAGCACACTTTCTACTTGCTTTCAGCAGTGTTTCCATAAGTTTCTACTTACTTTCTGCACAGTTTCCACACACTTTCTACTTACTTTCTGCACTGTTTCCACACACTTTCTGCACTGTTTCAACACAGTTTCTACTTGCTTTCTGCACTGTTTCCACAAGTTTCTACTTGCTTTCTGCACTGTTTCCACACAGTTTCTACTTGCTTTCTGTACCTGTATGAGCATGTCCATGCTGGAGACCCAGGCAGCTGAAGGTCTGGGATTGAGTGTTGGCGCCAGTGACGACAGGAAGTGATGCAGTTGGTCAGGACAGGCTCGCAGCACACTGATGACAAGGTCCGCAGACAAGGCGTCGGTGGAGGCCTTCTGTAGCGATGACAGGAACCCGGTCAGGATGTGGTTCTGATTCCTGGGAAACAATCACAATATTAAGAGTCAGTGAAGAACATCATGTTCAGAAGATTGATACTGTGATTGGTTGTGACTCAAGGCGACTGATGGTGACATAAAGCAATTACAGGATGCAAGCCAATGATTATGCAGCCCTTCCTTGAAATCAGTGAAGATTTATATGTGTAACACTGCTCAATACCTGGATGTTCCTGGTCGTGATGAGCCAATGAGGAGAACCAAGTGATATTCATTTTCAACACCAGAGGAACAGAATGCCTATACTCTCAAATATCTTACAATAGAGTTAACTCTAAAGTCGGTACAAGAATGTTACAATGTTTTGTTGTGGTAATGCATGTAAGGTACTTCTCTGGGAGGAACATGGACGTCTAGATATACATGTCATGTCCTCACCATATGCTTCCTGAACATTAAGTTGTTCTGAGTGAGTAAGTGAGTATAGTTTTAAGCCGCACTAAGCAATATCCCAGCTATATGGAGGCGGTCTGTGAATAATCAAGTCTGAACCAGACAACCAAGTGATCAACAGCATGAGCATCGATCTATGCAGTTGGGATACAGTGAAATGTGTCAACCAAATGAGCGAACCTGACCACCCGATCCCGTTAGTGACCTCTTACAACAAGCAGTGTTACTGAGGACCAACTCTAACCCAGATCTTCATGGGTCTGTGTTGTTGTGTGTATCTTTGTTGATCTGTAGAACATCCCAACTCTCCAACCTAACAGCTGGGTTTTACAAAACCTTTGGCAACATACCAGCAAAAATGGACTTCACACATCGTACCCATGTAGGGAATCTAACCCAGGTCTTAGCCTTGATAAACATACACTTGAGCTACTGGGCTACCCCAGTGCCCCTGACTTACAACAGTACTTCAGGAGGTGGAGACCATTAATGGGACTTACTTTCCTGATGTTCCGAGGGAGCTGTCGTAGAAGTTGATGCCTGTCTTGAATGAGCAGCAGAGGTCTGTGAGGAAGGCGTGGACAGCCTGACGCACCACCTCCCTCTCCTCTGGGTTCACTGGGGTCTGAAGCACCGACATTTATACAACTGCACACTTCATATGAGGTCAATGTTTATGTTTTTAAGGAGCTGAAAAGATATATTGACCTCAACAAAACTGCTTTATTATATACCAAAGAGACAAGAGCAGTTTCAACATATCCAACTATGTTAGCGCAATAACATTTAGGTTGAGACTTATGATTTGTTCAAACTTTGGACTAACAGTTTTAGTTAGCTATGTTGCTGCCATCCTGTGTTCCAAACTTACCTGAAACACACATACTTGTTTAACTCCACACTCTGCAATATTGCAGTGAAGTGATAGTGGCCTGGTAGGAGTTTGGACAAGACAATCAAGTGATTCATATTGTCAGCAACCATTGGCCACTTGTCATTACACAACATGTTGACAACATTGGACAACCGTGGATGCACATCATTAGACAATTTGGAGACACCATTACCATTACACAACATGTTGACAACATTGGACAACCGGTGCACGGTGCACATCATTAGACAATTTGGAGACACCATTACACAACATGTTGACAACATTGGACAACCGGTGCACATCATTAGACAATTTGGAGACACCATTACACAACATGTTGACAACATTGGACAACCGGTGCACATCATTAGACAATTTGGAGACACCATTACACAACATGTTGACAACATTGGACAACCTGTGCACATCATTAGACAATTTGGAGACACCATTACACAACATGTTGACAACATTGGACAACCTGTGCACATTATTAGACAATTTGGAGACACTATCACACAACATGTTGACAACATTGGACAACCGGTGCACATCATTATTAGACAATTTGGAGACACTATTACACAACATGTTGACAACATTGGACAACCGGTGCACATTTGACAATCCATGTGCACATCATTAGACAATTTGGAGACACCATTACACAACATGTTGACAACATTGGACAACCCGGTGCACATCATTAGACAATTTGGAGACACCATTACACAACATGTTGACAACATTGGACAACCAGTGCACATCATTAGACAATTTGGAGACACCATTACACAACATGTTGACAACATTGGACAACCAGTGCACATCATTAGACAATTTGGAGACACCATTACACAACATGTTGACAACATTGGACAACCGTGCACATCATTAGACAATTTGGAACACCATTACACAACATGTTGACAACATTGGACAACCGGTGCACATCATTAGACAATTTGAGACACCATTACACAACATGTTGACAACATTGGACAACCGGTGCACATCATTAGACAATTTGGAGACACCATTACACAACATGTTGACAACATTGGACAACCGGTGCACATCATTAGACAATTTGGAGACACCATTACACAACATGTTGACAACATTGGACAACCGGTGCACATCATTAGACAATTTGGAGACACCATTACACAACATGTTGACAACATTGGACAACCGGTGCACATCATTAGACAATTTGGAGACACCATTACACAACATGTTGACAACATTGGACAACCGGTGCACATCATTAGACAATTTGGAGACACCATCACACAACATGTTGACAACATTGGACAACCGGTGCACATCATTAGACAATTTGGAGACACCATTACACAACATGTTGACAACATTGGACAACCGGTGCACATCATTAGACAATTTGGAGACACCATTACACAACATGTTGACAACATTGGACAACCGGTGCACATCATTAGACAATTTGGAGACACCATTACACAACATGTTGACAACATTGGACAACCGGTGCACATCATTAGACAATTTGGAGACACCATTACACAACATGTTGACAACATTGGACAACCAGTGCACATCATTAGACAATTTGGAGACACCATTACACAACATGTTGACAACATTGGACAACCGTGCACATCATTAGACAATTTGGAGACACCATTACACAACATGTTGACAACATTGGACAACCGGTGCACATCATTAGACAATTTGGAGACACCATTACACAACATGTTGACAACATTGGACAACCGGTGCACATCATTAGACAATTTGGAGACACCATCACACAACATGTTGACAACATTGGACAACCGCACATCATTAGACAATTTGCACCATCATTTGACAACATTTGGAGACACCATTACACAACATGTTGACAACATTGGACAACCGGTGCACATCATTAGACAATTTGGAGACACCATTACACAACATGTTGACAACATTGGACAACCAGTGCACATCATTAGACAATTTGGAGACACCATTACACAACATGTTGACAACATTGGACAACCGGTGCACATCATTAGACAATTTGGAGACACCATCACACAACATGTTGACAACATTGGACAACCGGTGCACATCATTAGACAATTTGGAGACACCATTACACAACATGTTGACAACATTGGACAACCGGTGCACATCATTAGACAATTTGGAGACACCATTACACAACATGTTGACAACATTGGACAACCGGTGCACATCATTAGACAATTTGGAGACACCATCACACAACATGTTGACAACATTGGACAACCGGTGCACATCATTAGACAATTTGGAGACACCATCACACAACATGTTGACAACATTGGACAACCGGTGCACATCATTAGACAATTTGGAGACACCATTACACAACATGTTGACAACATTGGACAACCATGTTGTGCACATCATTAGACAATTTGGAGACACCATTACACAACATGTTGACAACATTGGACAACCGGTGCACATCATTAGACAATTTGGAGACACCATTACACAACATGTTGACAACATTGGACAACCAGTGCACATCATTAGACAATTTGGAGACACCATTACACAACATGTTGACAACATTGGACAACCGGTGCACATCATTAGACAATTTGGAGACACCATTACACAACATGTTGACAACATTGGACAACCGGTGCACATCATTAGACAATTTGGAGACACCATTACATTCAGTCAAGGGCATGTTGACAATGCGAATCGCTGGGGACCAAGTAATAAATCTTGAATTTTATCGATGTATTCGAGACATAGGTATGTCTATGAGGGTAGAAAAAAGATGATCCAGTCCTAATTCCTCCGCCCTAAGCATTTGTTTATCTAATGATTACCATATCACTAATAGGGGCACCTTATCAGTTCCAGTCTGATTAGCACAGACAGCGCATTTCCTCGTAAAATCACTAATCTGCCTTTTGAACTCACACCCGCCAATGGCGAAAAGCTGGTGTGGAGCCGCTGGTTTGTTAATTGGATCAGGTAGCTACACCAATCAACTTCTCATTGACTGACTTCGCTTATGTATACAAGATTGCTGTTGTTTGATTCTTATGGGACCAAATTTCCTTTTCAAGTCATCGTGTGTATTTATGAGATCTTTTAATTGTAACCGTATTCAAATGATGACAACTATAACAGGGAATGGTTGGGACCCGACAGGTACTTCGAGTTATGCATAATATTCGAGACACCGCATTCACTCCATACAAACAGGTTGTCATTCCCTGAGTGTATCACCACACATGGTATACAAACAGGTTGTCATGTTTTTAGAACAGTTGCCATACTTTGATGTTTTACGGCGATGCTGTCGGTCATACCTTGATGTCCCGCCGTTGACACAGCGGTTGTATGTTGACATGGGTGAAGTCAAACTGTGTTTGTACAGCTCGGGCCGACAGTGGGGAGAACGCAACCATACGTGTGAGCAGACGTAATGTCTTCTTGATCAGCTGATTCTTGTTGTTGAGGCTGAGACTGAAGTAGATAACTCGCATGTGGGATGCCAGGATCCGCTGTATGATGTTCTCACCAATCAGCTGGAGCTTCTCACTGGCATCAGCCAATCGAATGAAGACACACTCCAACACACTGAAGAGTGTGAGTATCTGGCAAAGTCAAGCAAGACATCAGTATTATTATTACAAAACTAAAATAACAAACATGACTGCAAGCATACATGTTCAAACACAGATTACCTAGATATCTGTTAGACTATCTATAATGTGTCCATTAGCTAGTTGTCCACTCAGTATTATTACAGCTTTACGACAACTGCCTGTAAATAATAAGGACTGGATCAGACAATCCGGTGATAGCTGTAATCAACACTCCATGCTCTCAGAGCTGATTTGTCACTTGTTATGACTAACACAGGTAGGGCACTTGATCTAACCTGGAGGATCAGTCTGTGTACCTATACACATACATCTCTAGATAATGACTAACATAAAGTGTTTATCCGATACTTTTGTTCTGTTCATTCATAGCCATGGATGTATATAAGTTCATAACTTTAATGTGTAAAGTGACTACAAAGGTTCTCTTTGAATGGCATCTAGCAGTTGGTGTGATCAAAACTTGCTTGATAATGATGTTTGTATCTATACACAATAATGTCACTCATTGTAATAAGAAGTCGTATATGCATAGCACAATCTCCATCGTTCCTAAACGAGTTAAAACCAAAGCCAGTAGATTGTTCCGCTCCTCGTGTTTACCTCGCCTGGTTTCCTTATTGACTCTTCAAACAACTTGAAGATTTCTCCACATTCCTCGGATGTCTCTACGTACTTGCCCACAATGTCATACCTCGCTTGATCTGGGTACTTCTCTGCGGCTTCCAGGAATTTTTCCAGAGCTGAAATATTACATAGTAATATTGAGGCCAATAGACAAGACTTGGCAGCGCCAACTAGTGGGTGACAGCATGAGCAACAGCCTGGATCACACACGTACTGTGGATCTCCACTGACATTATTTACGATCTCAACACATGGGATACAAGTAAACCATTTAACAAATCCTACTTGGCAAGGAATCGGAATCACTGCCGACCACGAACCACACCAGGTTTAACCACGGTACAGGGCCTTGCACGTCTCTCACTCCTAAGCACGTTAGCGTCCAATTACAGACGCAGTGAATTCTACTGGTACGTGTGAGAGTGCGACTGGCACTGACTTCGGCTGAAGTCATTAAAGACTAACATTAGTAACATAAATTCAGTGAACATTCTCTCACCTGCAAATGCTGTGTTTGCATCGCGCAGTTGGAACTTAAATTCGACTTCAGTAAATACATTTTTTCTGTTTTGTTGGTTTACGTTTAACACTTTCTTCGGAATTCGTTGTTGGTTTCTTCCCTGGGGATGCCATGTTGTCATCCGAGGTTCATTTCACCTAACGAAAACCCACGTGGTAATCTGTGTACATGTCCACACGAAGAACTCCTTACTATGTTTGTGCCCTTATTCCTGACGTGAAAGCGCTTTCTTGTATCACTGCAAGGAGCTCAGTAAAACACGGACAACGGACAGTGTCTGAGGCGCACTTAAAATATCCATTAATGCCCTTTTGAATGGCCTATCTGAATTACATATAAATTTGGAAGTAAAATGTTATTTTACATGCTCTAAGGCTTAATATATGACAGCTATGCCTCAACAATTAGATTATTTCATAGGAACTGTGGAATTTCATCCACAATGTGTTTGGTTTTGTAATAAAGTAAAACTTGATTGCGGAGATGCTGATTGGTTGGGGCAAGTGATTGATGGAAAGAATATTATGTTTACAATAGTCAGCCTTCATTGAGTGAGTGAGTATGGTTCTAAGCCGCTTTTAGCAATATTCCAGCAATATCACGGCGGGGGACACCAGAAATGGGCTTCACACATTGTACCCATGTGGGGAATCGACCCCGGGTCTTCAGCGTGATGAGCGGACGCTTTGACCATTAGGCTACCCCAGCACCCCCAGCCTGCAGTGGACCTTGATAACTATGATTGTTTTTACCTGAATCACAGACACCATGCCGTAAACTATCATACCCATGACGTGGTATTCTGTTACTGATAGTTGTTAATTCGTTATCATGTCACTGCCAAGTTTGTAATGTTAGCATGAGGAAAATACGGCTGTCATGCTTATATTTAGCTTTAGTTGCACCACGCTAATGGATACCGTCGATGGAATTTCCGGTCTATTAATACATCGTAACGTATACATAGAACAGATGTCTTCACTAATCAGTTACCATTAAAGAAGAGAAGCCATTGATATCACCAACAGATTCAGCCTCTGAGAGCCTTGTTACAGGTAAGTGTGATCAGAGTATCCCCTCACTGCTGTCTGGGGGTTATAGATGTACATGTTGTTTTGAGGCAATATATTATTGATGAATAATAAGAAAGGTAAGATACTTTATGCATGACAACTTCTTGATTATATTACACATACATTTATGACAAGGTCTTTATTATATCACACATACAGGATATTATACGAGTGTCCATGTCATACTATGTTTACAACACGAGTGCCTAAATGTTGGTATTTCGAAGGGAAAGTCAGGAATATGCCGATAGTTAGGCACGAGTGTCGTAATCGTATGAAAAATATGAACCCCGATATTTTCGCCCTCGTAAGTAATAAATACATTTATGACAACTTCATTGTTATATTACACGTACATTTATGTGTAATATAATAAAGAGGTTCTCATCAATAAAGTATCTTACCTTCTTATATCTCCGACATATGACATTTGTGAAACACTAAGTTTCACTGTTTCAGTGATATGTTGTGATGATATTGAAAGATTTCACAGGGGGTGAATGGGGTGGCCGAATCCTGAAGCTAATGTTAATGAGTAGGGTTAGTTTTGAGGGTTGTGGGTGGGGCATGTGGATGTGGGTAGAGTAAGTACTGTAGGGTAGGGGTGGTGATACAGGCGGTTGAGTCCAGTTCTAAAGCATACAAGTATTTATGGCAGTATGATCGTAAATAACGAGAGTATTAGTAACGCATCAGATTTGTCAGTCTCTTTGTATAATTGTATAACTTGAAAATGATTAGTGTGTGTATTATGGTGGTTTTTTTGCTTGTTTTTTTTTTTGAGAGAGAGAGAGAGAGAGAGAGAGAGAGAGAGAGAGAGAGAGAGAGAGAGAGAGAGAGAGAGAGAGAGAGAGAGAGAGAGAGAGAGAGAGAGAGAGAGAGAGAGTCTATTTCTTGAAACTGTGTTAACTCTAGCAATGTTTATTTACAGACTGATAATGGGTGCCAACAATACAAAGACCCCCGTCGTCGACTTGGAAGAGATCTTGAAATCGTGGGCATGGAATGTATTTGTCAAAACTGACACTTACAAAGAGAAAGGTGCACCTCGTTTGACTGACGTCGATATCGACATTGTATGGGACAGGGTACGTTTCTCCACCAGCGAACCAGCGTTTGGAATAAAACAAGGACCGTTCCCTGTCGAGTCTCAAGTCGTGTTCAAGGCGCATTACAACAACAAAACTTCTGAAATTCAAGAACAGAATTTCTCAACATCAAGAACAACAGTTGCCAAGGCCACAACTGTACTAACACGAGGATTCACACGAGGCATGAACACCGACATTAAGATTACAGTTCCACCGGAAGTCGCTTATGCCACTTCCGGTTTTGGGAACAAGGTGAGCATCCAAACGGACGAGGTGAATACTGTCGAACACACGCTGACCTGGACAACTAACTCAAACATTCGACTTCCACCAAAGTCCAAAATGCTGGCTCAATTACAGGTTAGCGCAGAACAATTTCAATGTGATTTTTCCGCATATGTTACATTCAAAGGAACTGTTGTGTTGCCTATCAAGGACAGAGGGACTGGTGCGTTCATAGAGGCAGTTCAGAATGACATTGCGACCATTGTGAAGGATGAACTAAAAAAACGGAACATCAAATACAACACCTCCGACCCAGAAGACATCACGCTCAATGGCAAAACAGTTCAGTGGCCAATTTCCGGGGAACTCCGTTTCAAATATGGCGTCACACAGGATGTGCTTCTGGACCATTTAAACGGATCGACGTATGACTAGTGCTCGTGCGCATGCTTACCGTCAAAGTGTGTTCGAATCCAGAACTTGTTCAGTTTACGAAGCATGTCTTTCAGCTTGCTACTGTTCCAGTCTGATGTCAAAGCACGAAAAAAACTGTCAACTGTGAAATATACCCATCTATTTGTCAATAGAGTGTGACATTCAAATATGAAAACTGTGACATATACCAGTAATCTTTATATCTTCTGTCTTCATTGATCCAATGTATATAAATTGTTATGTTACGTCTGTGATAGTTCATGTGACTTTATTAAATTACTGTTCATAATAAACATGAAATGCCTTGTTGGTTTGCTTCATGAATCCTCATTATGTGAAACGTTGTTGTTTCTAGTGCTGGTAGATCCGTGCAATATCACATAATATGATCTGTCATTTGGGATTTCCTTTGACGGGAGTTTCGTTTTTGTGACCGCTTTGTTAAGAAACTATTTACTTTTCACTTATGTAAAGTGTATGTTGTATAAATATGTTGTTTTTATTCTTTATTTTGCCTAATCCATTTGACTTTGTAATGTCGATAAAATATATATGAAAACGAAACATTATTGATTGATCATTCGCATGACTGGATATTTGGGGCACGGTGGAGAGCTGTCTAAGGCGCCAGGCTTGCCATCAAGGGAGCTTACGGTCCCGGGATCGAGCCTACCTGTGACCGGGTGTGAAAACCTTGGAATCAACTGAGGACTCTTTGAGTGTTGTCGCAACCCCTAGTGTACAGTGCACAACCCTGTGCACTTAAACGAACCCATGACTCCGTTGGTAAATGACCAGATGGTGGCCACATGAATACGTGCAAACTCCTAGTTGCGGGTACAGCAACGTGCAGTAAACTTGGACAAAGTGCTGTGACTATGTGTCCCAGTCCACCCAGCTGTGAATTAACTTGGTACGTTAATTTCGAGGCTTGAGACTCCACTGTGACTGACAATCCATCGTTACTGACACCACCTGTGGTGTGTGGAACACTACAGCCCCCATCTGCAAAATCAGAAACCTGGCTCATGTGAAAAGAAGTTGAAACGGCTTTCTACAGTGAAAACAGTTACCATTGTGGTCAAGATGGGGAGAGGACCTTACAACGGAGACCTGGCCCTAAGTCATGACCAATGTAGTTATCATCAATCAGCGATTAATGTCAACACATTGCAGATTGCACTTTTAAAACCGGCTCGCATTGCGTCCAAGGAGTAGCGGGGCGGTGGGGTAGCCCAGTGGCTAAAGCGTTGGCTCGTCACGCCGAAGACCCGGGTTCGAATCCCCATATGGGTACAATTTGTAAAGCCCATTTCTGGTGTCCCCCGCCGTGATGTTGCTGGAATATTGCTAAAACCGGCGTAAAACCAAATTCAGTCAGTCAGTCAGCCAAGGAGTACCTAAAGTGATGGCGATTGTTTTTTAAACTGCTGTAAAAATAATATTGCAATGCTAAAAGGTGTATTGCGGATTTGCTTCTAAATGTAACTTTTAATATATGATGCAGTTGTGCGACGTTAAACTTTAACTCACTCATACATGCAGACACACATGAGTAAATATTCAATACAGTTAACAGGAAAGAGAGACGTAATATAGGGTGGTGATCAACTTCGATGGTGTAACTTTATAAATGTATACATTTGTCCACTGACACTTGATCACGCTTCATATCAAAATTACCCGTGAAGATCCGGGTTAGAATTGATCTTCAGTAACCCATGCTTGTCGTAAGAGGCGACTAAAGGGAACAGGTGCTCATCGGGGCGGTGGGGCGGTCTAGTGGTAAAAGCGTTGGCTCAGCACGCCGAAGACCCGGGTTCGAATCCCCACATGGGTACAATGCGTGAAGCCCATTTCTGGTGTCCCCCGCCGTGATGTTGCTGGAATATTGCTAAAAGCGGCGTAAAAACCAAACTCAGTCAGTCAGTCAGGTGGTCATCGTATCCCAATTGCGTGGATCGATATTCATGCTGTTGATCACTGGATTCCGATCCAGACTCGATTATTTACAAACCGCCGCCATATAGCTAGAATATTGCTGAGAGGGCGTAAAACTAAACTCACTCACTAACTCTTGTTCAAGAAAAAGTCTGAAGATATTTTAGAAGGACATCAAAAGCCTGTAACCTGTAGTTGTAATTGTTGGTATCCAAATAAAATGTGTAAACCACAGATTCGACTCGATTATTTACAGAATGCCGCCTTATAGTTGGAATATTGCTGAGTCACCGAGTGAGTTCAGTTTTACGCTACGTAAAACTGAACTCACTCACTCATATCAGAATTATAACATGTCTCTATTGATGTCACACAGTCCTGACACCGGAGTCCAAACATACCAAACATTAACTAACACAGGATGAACAAAGTCAGGTAGTCCTCTCACGCACAATCCAAATACCTGTCATAGACCATAAACACACTCATACCACCGCCATGCTCTCACTCCGTCTAATAGCGCGCAAGGTATCTCCCTTTTTCAAATGATACGATGGAAATAGTAAATAAATATATAAAATCAAGTATGGGTTATATATTTATTTTCTTACAACAACTGCGATACATGTGACCAAAAGGTATATGTATATACATATATATGTTGTGTTTTACAATGTAAAGTTATCAAAGGCTTCCCAAGACAAGAATGCACACAGGCACAGCAAGTGGAGTCCTCTATTTACGGTGTTGACGATGGGAACGTCGTCGTGTACGTATCAGCTTAACGTCTGTCGTAAAGTGTGCTGATAGAGTATGTGATGTATTAACAGGAAACAAAATCTGTGCACTTAAAGATGTGATGTATCAACAGGATACAACCTTGTATGCTGAAAGTATTGTGTACAGTGAAGTACTGTACTAGAACCATTTACAGTTGGCGGTGAAGTGTATCAACATGAAATCCTTTAGAGTCTTATTTTTAGTTTCTAATATAGGAGATAAGAATAATATGCTAACAGTAAAAGTGGGGTTTCTGATAAAAGTAAGCTCAGTAACAATATGTACACGGTCTCTGACATATATGTACGGTTTCGCTGCCGATCCGTTGCAGATTATTTTCTGTGACTGCCAACGTGCGAGACTTCCACCTTCTGTGACACGCCATACTTAAAACCGAGAGAGCCTCCGACTGGCCAAAACACCGCTCTGCCATCTGTGTGAACGCTGAGGGGGTCGCTGTCATTGTAAGAGTAGCCATATTCCTCAAACACATCCTTAACAATTTGTCCAATTAAATTCTCAACGGTCATCAAGAAAGCCCCAGTTTTCATGTTGCTGATTTTGATCTTGACACGACCGCTGAACACTACGAGTGCAGTAAATGAGCAGTTAAAGGTCTCTTGGTTGATTTGTAGCGTGGCAACTGTTCGAGACGACCGAGGAACCCGTATGAGGGAATTTGCACTCCACGTCATAGAGTGTTTTACTGAATTTTTGTTCTCAGTTTCCACGTCAACCTCGTTTCCAAAACCAGAAGTGACATTTGTAACTTCCGGTGGAACGGGAATGGTAATGCCATTCTTCACACCTCTGGTGAATCCGTTCGTCAAGGCTGTCGTTGAGGTTGCCTCTGTGGTCCGCTGAGTGGTGAAGTTGTGTTCCTGTGTTTCCATGGTGTTGTTGGTGTAGTCGGACTTGAACACCATCGTTGACTGGGATGGCGAAGGACCCTGTTTTTCCCCATAACAGACGTCTCTCGTTTCGAAGTGGACGCTGTCCCAGATGACCTTGAACCCAAGGTCTTTTTTGGTCATTGAGTCACTGGCCGTGCGTGAGTACTGTCTCCAAGCCCACTCCTTCAGTTCATTGTCCAGCTCTACAACTGGAGGTGGCTCCACTGATGGCTCGTCTGGGGTGGATTCGGATGCTCCCATTCTGTGTCTTCTATGGCTGAAAAAGGAAGAGAGTTGAAACAATCAAAACCTTGACCATAGAACCAATGTCTGTCAGTCGATGCTCTTCGTGAAATGTGGAATAACACGTCATGTTTAGGACTCAGATTTTAAGGAGTGAAAAATGAACAGCAACTTGAACAAATTAGTAGCACTCTGTACCTGGACACACAGACAACCCAAAACTTTACCGTTATGCGGATATTGGAGCTGTAACGTGTCGCAACAAAGGTCTAAATTGGGGATCGGGTGGTCACCCTGTTTTCATCACATTTGTTAACCTCCCTACTGCATCATCACCGAACTGAAACAGATTCCAATAATGTACAGCTTCATCTGCCACTTAAAGAATACACACTCACCTCTTCCCGCACACACACACGCACACACACACACACACACTCACCTCTTCCCGCACTCACACACACACACACACACACTCACCTCTTCCCGCACACACACACGCACACACACACACACGCACACACCTTTTCCCCTTTTGATATACCAGCATGAAACTACAGTGTTTTGGTTCGACGTTGACAGTGTTGACAGACTGTAACTACCGTCGGCATTAATTGGAAAAGTATCGCATCACTTTGGCTGACACAAACACCACGTCCGTCTATTCGTGAGAACACGGTGTTCGGCGTGCCAGGCTGACACTTTACCCACTGGGCTATTGGACCGTTCTCAATACTTGTGGCTTGCACAAACAATGGACGACGTGTGTCATTTATGCAGTAATGAGTAGATTTTGTAAATACTGACTTTAGTCAAGGTATTTGTGGCGCTGTTGGTTTCAGTGAAAATATATGGCGCATAAGCTTTGTGGCTCTTGCCCTAGAAAATATGAAATTACGAAATAGAACAGAATTCTACTTACATCGGTATGCGTCTCACTCAAGGTCGCTCTGTGTGAAAAGTGATATTAGTTGAACATACCTACATCACTTATAGCAGATTACGTGCTGAGGTTAATCCCAGTATCTATTTATAGCCGTGACCACGTAACACGTGTCGCTATTTTTTACTTTCAATACAATAAATGGATAAATAGATTGAAGAATAATTACATCATGGCGACAAGTGACTGTGCACGTGTGTTCACTCGGTTAAGACTGTACATGAAAGTGCCGCCGAAACGGCCTAGTGATTGGCATGTTTCCTAGTTACTGTTCCTAGTTACTGTTTTGTGTGTGTTCATCTGCATCTGCAGGATACTAGAACACCCCATGTGGATATGTATTCGTATGTTTAAAGCTGCATTCTTGAACAGATCTTACAGACAAATCCTTATAGATCAAAACAATGCCCACTCACTCGGTATAAACATCATTGACAACACACATACCGCACACTGACAACACCCACACCACACTGACCACACCACACACACCCCACACTGTGCACACCACACACAGTCACACTTACCACACCAAACACACTCCACACTGACCACACCCACCCACCCCACACTGACCACACACCACACTGACCACACACACCCCACACTGGTCACACACACACCACACTGGTCACACACACCACACTGACCACACACACACACCACACACTGGTCACACACACACACCACAATGACCACATACACACACACTGACCACACACAAACCCCACACTGAGAACAAACATCTCCACACTGACCACACACACCCCCCCCCACACTGAATACATACACCAAACACACTGACCACACACACACACACACCACATTGACCGCTTACAAACCCTACACTGACCACACAAAAACCCCACACTGATCACACACACCGCACACTGACCACACACACACCACACACACTGAATACATACACCAAACACACTGGCCACACAACACACCACACTGACAACATACACACACATTGACCACACACAACACACTTACCACATACACACACACTAACCATACACAAAAACCACTGACCACACACAAACACCACACTGATCACACACACCACACTGACCACACCCACCAACCCAACACTGACAACACTGACACACCACACCCACACTGACCCCACACCCCCATACACCACACCACACTGACCCCCACCCCACACCACACTGTTTCACCCCCACAACCCCATCCTGAAACTGACCACATACACACACACACAAACCACGCTGACCACACACACCCCACACTGTTCACACACCCCCACACTGGTCACACACCACACTGACAACATACACACACTGACCACACACACACACACACACCACACCACACTGAATACATACACCAAACACACTGACTACACACACACACACACCACATTGACTGCTTACAAACCCCACGCTGACCACACGCAAACCCCACACTGGTCACACACACCGCACACTGACCACACATACATCCCCACACTGACCACACACACACACCATATTGAATACATACACCAAACACACTGACCACACGCACACACCACACTTACCATACCCACCACACTGACCACACACACACACACCACTAACCACACACACCACACTGACCACACGCCACTGACCACACACAAACCCCACACTGATCACACACACACACACTGACCCCCACCCCCACACCACACTGACCCCCAACCCCCATCCCCAAACTGACCACATACACACACACACAAACCACGCTGACCACACACACACACCCCCACACTGTTCACACACCCACACACTGGTCACACACCACACTGACCACATACACACACTGACCACACACACACACACACACACCACACCACACTGAATACATACACCAAACACACTGACTACACACACACACACACCACATTGACTGCTTACAAACCCCACGCAAACCCCACACTGGTCACACACACCGAACACTGACCACACACACATCCACCCACTGACCACACACACACCCCATATTGAATACATACACCAAACACACTGACCACACGCACACACCACACTGACCACATACACACACACTGACTACACACAAACCACTTACCACACCTACCACACTGACCACACACACACACCACTGACCACACACACCACACTGACCACACGCCACTGACCACACACCAACCACACACAAACCCCACACTGATCACACACACCACACTGACCACACACACACCATATAGAGCGCACACACCGCACACTTATCACACACAAAACCAACACTGATCATGCAAACCCCACACTGATCACACACACACACACACTACACACTGAATACGTACACCCAACACACTGGCCACACAACACACCACACTGACCACATACACACACGCCGACCACACACACACCCCAACACACACACACACACACACACACACACACTGACCACACACCCACACACCACATTGACTGCACACAAACCCCACACTGACCATACACAAACCCCACTCTGATCACACACACCGTACACTGACAACACAGATATCCCCACACTGACCAACCCCCACACACACACACACACACACACACACACATGAATATACATACACCAAACACACTGGCCACACAACACACCCCACACTGCCCACGTCCAGACACCACGCACTGTCCTCACACACTACACTGAATGCACACTCAAAACACATCTAAGACTGACCACACACACACCACTCTGAATACACACACACACACCACTCTGAATACACACACACCACTAAAAACACACACACCCAACACTGAATAGACACACCCCACACACTGGCCACACCACACACAAACCAAACACTGAATGCACACACACGCACACACATACACACACGCCACATACACCACATATACCACATATCGACCGCACACTGCGCGCGCACGTACACACACACCACTGAATACTAACACTGACACACACAGACTGGGTTTTTTTCAAATTGAAAGATACGTCAGATGTTCATCAATGGAGACATATTCAATACACATGAAAAAAAACATAAAATATCTTTGAGATGACCCCTTGTGCCTGTGGTCAGCATATGCATTTCATGCCAGGTGACTTAACGGTCCGTCGTCATACCTGGCTGAGCAACCTAATTGCCATCTACAGTCTGATCTATTGTTTTCCGCAGCTACTGGTAATTGTTTGCCGGATTTTACGAGTAAACATGCTTTTCTGGATACCCTATTACTCATCCTACTAAACGCCCAGTTAGGCCGATGAGGGTTCTTTCGACATATTACGCTATTCGCAGCTGTCTAAACTTTAGGGATACAGTGTAACAGTCTAAAAACAGTTTTTTCTATTTCCGACAGTACTTTAGTTCTAATTAACAGAGTTAATAAAATAACCATAGACCTGTGACCTTCTTTTGAATATATGTTTGCCAGAAACCCCAAATCCATGGGATATGCCGGCGTGGTTCTCCGTCATCTGCTGAAGACTGCCATTGTTGACTGCGTGTCCACGTATCGTATAGTCGTCCGTCTATTCCCACGGGGAGCAGGAAACCAATTCATGCTAAAGCTGAACCTCGTTTTACTGGTCGGTATTCTATTAACCTATGCCCCGGATTAACAAGTGTCCGTCTTAACGCGTTCATATGTCCGCATTATTGAGTTGTGTTATGTTACATGATACTGTAATTAACATATGTATTATAAATGATTAATTGAGGCACTTTCAAATCACAATCAACATGTACCTGTTTCGATTTTGTTTGTAATGTCAATTACTCGATTAACTGTTCCAGACTCGATCATTGTCTGACCGCCGTCAAATATAATGAATATCGATGGGGCGGCATTAAACAACAATCAGTGCCGATAAAACGCAGTTGGGATGGCTACAACAGCTGATCTACACCATACAGGTATAATGACATACATAACCCACATTGACTGGTTATAAATAGAGCCACCTCATTGTAACGGTGATTGTGGGAAAACCGGCCATTACACCACCTGTTGTGAAAGAGGCCACACCCACTACACGCCCACTACATTGGTTCGTTGAATATTCTTTGATGAAAAGTATGCGACATTTCTGGGAATTCCAAAACCTTCAGTGTCTTCATGGCTGTCATTGGATGGAAGCTAAGAACATAATCTGTGGCACCTTGACTCAAGGTTAATTTTTAAATTATGCCGAGAGTATAAATACGGCGAATGTCTTCAGTGTTTAACAGTTGTTTGGATCAGGTCCTGGGTATATTCTACAGACCTATTCTATATACTGTATATTTTAATTGTTCACAGAACTAAGGTAAGTGCCATTTGCTTGGTTGTTTAAAGTAGATTGTTTAACAACAATGTGCGAATCGTGGTAAAACATCCCTGAGTGTTGCATACAGCCACGATCTGTCTATATCGGCTTGGTAATAATATATGTCTGACTGACTGAGTTTAGTTTTACGCCGCTTTTATATAATATATGTACTATTAATGTAATGTTATCGTTTCAATGTACATGCAAGTGCGCCTCACATCTTCGGGGGATCGTATGTTACTGACCGATGAATTATATTGTCATCGACTAGTATTTCGGTTTGACGTAAGATATTCAAGCTATGCTTACCAATTTCACTTGCAATTAATCTGTTGGTACTTTTTAAGATTTTAGCTCCATGCTTACAGCACGCAATAACGAGACTATGTGTCCGTGTTCACTTATTGATTTGACTTCAATAGTTTTCGCTCATTAGGACCAAGGCTGTAACTCACTGTGTCTCCCCATCAGCCCCGCCCAGCCAATCTCGACACTCGCCCATAGTCCCGCCCAGCAAATCTCGACACTCGACCATAGTCCCGCCCAGCAAATCTCGACACTCGCCCATAGTCCCGCCAAGCAAATCTCGACTCTCGCCCATAGTCCCGCCAAGCAAATCTCGACACTCGCCCATAGTCCCGCCAAGCAAATCTCGACACTCGCCCATAGTCCCGCCCAGCAAATCTCGACACTCGCCCATAGTCCCGCCCAGCAAATCTCGACACTCGCCCATAGTCCCGCCCAGCAAATCTCGACACTCGCCCATAGTCCCGCCCAGCAAATCTCGACACTCGCCCATAGTCCCGCCCAGCAAATCTCGACTCTCGCCCATAGTCCCGCCAAGCAAATCTCGACGCTCGCTCATAGTCCCGCCCAGCAAATCTCGACACTCGCCCAAAGTCCCGCCCAGCAAATCTCGACACTCGCCCATTGTCCCGCCCAGCCAATCTCGACACTCGCCCATAGTCCCGCCCAGCAAATCTCGGCACTCGCTCATAGTCCCGCCCAGCAAATCTCGACACTCGCCCATAGTCCCGCCCAGCAAATCTCGTCGTACGCCCATAGTCCCGCCCAGCAAATCTCGTCACTCGCCCATAGCCCCGCCCAGCAAATCTCGTCACTCGCCCGTAGCCCCGCCCAGCGGGATTACATGGTTCTGCACAGTTGTTCTAAACACCCAGAATGATGCCATGTTAACGACGTCATGTTTGTTTCAGATACAGGATGGGGATGACTGACTTAGACCTTGTTATCAGAGACTGGGCTGAGCGACAGGCTCGGGTAGTGGGCAACACTTCTCAAAACATCTCAATGGAGATAGACTGGAGCAAGGTGAGGCAGTCCACTGCCAACACAACCTTTACCCCTTCCGGCCAGCTGCACGGTGCTAGATCTCAGGTCATCTTCACCTCCAACTACGACAACAACACCGACGAAGTGCAGAATCACACGTTCCAGATGGACCGATCAACTGAAGCCACAGTCAAGACGTTCGTCACAAAGGGCTTTCTCCAAGAACGGAAACGTCGGCATCAACATTGACGTGCCTCCGTCAGTCTCTGGGATGACGGGCGGCTTTGGGAGCGACATCGTGGTGGCGAGTGAGGACGAGAACACGGTGAAGCATGCCGTCTCGTGGGGGTTGAACTCCACAGTAAAGGCTCAGCCCAACAAGAGGACCGTTGCTGAACTGAAGATCACGGAGACTGACTATAACTGTACTTTTGAGGCAGAGGTTCACATCCGCGGTCGCGTCATCGTCAGGGTCAGCAATGGCGGCTCCACTCAGGTGGTCGAGGGCGACATTGCAACTATACTGGGTGATAACCTCAAGGCTGCCGCGCGCAACGATGGCCTGATGTCCATTCAGGGCAGGAAGGTCAGCTGGAAGGTGAAGGGTGGACTTCGCTTCCGGTTCGGGGTATCCCAGGACGTCAACGTGAAGAGCGAGAAGCTGCCAAGTCAGTAGCCGTATTGGGACTTTGTCAGTTCAAACAACTAATATTATACCTGCCACGTGTGAAGACAAATGTCGTGTATGTTTATAAACGAAGGCGTCACACATGCCGCTCAATGGACATAATGTAAAGCAGTTACCATATATGACTTGCCATGCCCTGAGTACAAACAGTTTGTTTTTGTAGTTAAACAGAATTATGATCACTCAATAAACAATAGCATCACATTTGTTCTTGTTTTATTGTGTCACATTGCTGGAAATCCCTCACTCACTCCATGCACTAGATCCAGGTTCCACAGTATGACGTGCGGAGTTCGGCCACCGTCTTCAGAACACATTAACACAACACACCAACCAGCCTGATATAAACTATGTACCTTATGCAATCATCAGCAAGAATGTGAATTCCGATGAAGCACTGTGTAGCCCATTGATTAAAGTGTCGCTTTGCAAAGCAGAAGATAGGGTTCGAACCCCCTTATGTGGAGTGTGTGTCGCGAACTTAGGCAGATTAGTCAATCTCAACGAACGCTCGGAACTTCGTCAAGGCTTATCACAGATCAATAGGTCTACAACATTAACAGTAACCCGACCTGTCACTATAGGCCCAACCAGGGTATATGGTCATCACTATAGGCCCAACCAGGGTATATGGTCATCACTATAGGCCCAGCCAGGGTATATGGTCATCACTATAGGCCCAACCAGGGTATATGGTCATCACTATAGGCCCAGCCAGGGTATATGGTCATCACTATAGGCCCAGGGTATATGGTCATCACTATAGGCCCAACCAGGGTATATGGTCATCACTATAGGCCCGCCCATCACTATAGGCCCGCCAGGGTATATGGTCATCACTATAGGCCCAGCCAGGTATATGGTCATCACATAGGCCCGCCCAGCCAGGGTATATGGTCATCACTATAGGCCCAGCCAGGGTATATGGTCATCACTATAGGCCCGCCCAGCCAGGGTATATGGTCATCACTATAGGCCCGCCCAGCCAGGGTATATGGTCATCACTATAGGCCCGCCCAGCCAGGGTATATGGTCATCACTATAGGCCCAACCAGGGTATATGGTCATCACTATAGGCCCGCCCAGCCAGGGTATATGGTCATCACTATAGGCCCAGCCAGGGTATATGGTTATCACACGCAATGCTGGGCTTCTGGTAACTTGAGATGCAATGTGAGATGAGAGGCAGTAGTAGCCTCCAACTCATGTACCTCCCTTGGCAGATGATTCTTGTAGATCTTTCCAAATCATTCTGTTACATTGAGTGGGTCAGAACAGGATTGAAGCCTCGAGATATACGTCTAAATATAGCACAGCTCTGCCCCATACTGAATCAGTGAATGGTCAGATACATTATAACAGTTGGTACACTGTTGCACACAAATGTGCACACACACACGCGCGCGCGCGCACATATATAGTGGATATTGGACACAGAATGATGGGTCGTTCAATGTCGAGGTCGTGAGGTGAGACGTGTCCTGTATGTTGGTGGTCCACTGTCAGTCTGATCACCTCCCAAATGGACGTAGCCTCCCAACGTGTCCAGTTTACGTGTTCTAAACTAATGTGACAGCTATAAATATTTAAGGAATGTCGATATACATATTAATTATTACTATTATTCATAATATTGATATACATGTAAATACATTTTATTCTAGAATAATCTGACTTAATAAACGTCTACATTTGCGCACTGTTTATGTCACTGTGATCTGACATGTCTATTCACACGCACATTCCCAATCCATACATATCACATGAAACATGAAACTACAGGGTGACCTGAGTGTCAGACAGGTCACCTCATCGTCAGGTGCGATCAAACAATCTGTCCCCGAGGTATGGACGTAATGAAAACACCAGCGTCACCCCACAGCGCCTGTGTGTACTGGGTGACACTGGTAGTCTTCATATCATTATTTCATGTTATAAGAATAAAAAAAATAAAAGGTCGAATCTGTGGTTTACATATTCTATTTGTATATAAACAATTACAACTACAGGTTACATGCTACGGCCCTTCTGAAATATCATCAGACTTTGTTATAACAAGAGTTTTGAGTGACTTTAGTTAGCAATATTCCAGCTATATGGCAGCGGTCTGTAAATAATCGAGTCTGGACCAGAGAATGCAGTCATCAACAGCAAGTCAGTGAACCTGACCACCCGATACCGTTAGTCTCCTCTTGCAACAAGCATGGGTTGCTGAAGACCAGTTCTAACCCGGATTTTCACGGGTCTACTTGTACAAGAACAGAAGAATGCCACTTTAGTTCTCTCAGACAGACATCGGCAGATGAGCTACAAACAATAACTATCATGGCGGTGAAGAGAGGATATCTGAAACGTTTCACTGTGATGTGGTAATCAACACATATGTTTTGGCAGTGGGATATTTTTATGTCATCTTGAGTAGTAGTTTGGACCGAACATTTGTTCATTGAATATTTACATTTGAATAAACTGTAGAAATCATCTCCAATGTCATAACTGTCACACAATTTGCATAAACGTTCATTCAACGGAGTTCTCTCTACCCCCATTGTGACATTGTAACACCGATATTGAGTGAGTGGAGTGAAAGCGACAGCCGAGGAACAAAATGGTGTTAGAAGAAACGAAGCTGTTTGGCCCACGAAATAGCATTCGTGCAAAAATTAAAAACAGAAAAATCCGAGTTATCAATTTTTTGCTGTTCCATAGATATGAATAAGGCTTTTGAAAATGTAAACAAAGACTAGTAGGGTTTAAACAAATTAAAATGGCATCAATGGAAACATGTTTGAAGCTGTTAAACTTTACAGCGATGTTGCTTCGAATCAGCGCTATACACTGTAACTACGGAGTCAGTGAGAGTCAGTGATGTGCTATATTTAGACCTGTGCCACAGCCTTATAGCCATCTGCAGTGATCCTGAGAATACTGAAGAATTTGCATTTAAAGGGAGCAGGCAGTTGTCTCTCATCTCACGGGGGTTCCCAGGGGTTCGAACCCCCCCTTTTGAAAATGACTTAAGACCACTTTGAAAAAGAAAATTGCGTTGGCGGAGCCAAGGGGGGTTCAGGGGTTTTTCTCACTCACACACACACACACAGACAGACACACACACACACACACACACACACACACACACACACACACACACACACACACACACACACACACACACACACACACACACACACACACCCCTTTAAAAAATCCTGGATCCGCCCATGAAGTGCCTAGTGGTGAAAGCGGTTAAAGCGTTCGCTCGCCTCGCTAAAGACACGGATTCGATTCCCCACCCGCCGTAATATTGCTGGAATATTGCTAAAGGCGGCGTAAAACTAAACTCTTTCACTAGTGACCACAAAGGGACAAAATAGAGTGAGTGAGTGAGTTTAATTTTACGCTGCACTCAGCAATGTTCCAGCTATATGGCGGCGGTCTGTAAATAATTGATCAACAGCTTGAACATCGATCTGCAATTGAGATGCGATGACGGGATAATTAGTAACAAAACATTGATGACTGTCTGGTGACAATGTCATGTGCGACTCTTTGTGCACGCCCTGGTACAACATCACGTTATGTGTTGTCAGCAGTAAATGTCGCGTTACACAAACAGCTAGTTATTGTTATGTCGTTGGCAAATAATATCACAAACGGGAATAAAAGTGACTTACCCTTAAAACAAATTGGCGACAATACGTGTTTCCATGTTTTGAATACCGCGAGGCATTCTCATAGTGACAAATTACAACAGTGATCGTTAAGGCAATTGTACTTTGCTGCTATTTATATGATGTCGTTGAAAGTTCTAGAAATGCCATGATCATCTGTGAGAAGTTGTGTGTGCTTGACGACGTGGCGATACTTTACCTAGAGATTTGATTGAGAAATGTATGACAATGGTTGAAATTAGCAAGTCACAGTGTGGAGTAACGAGTGTTCTCTCTGTATGACATCACGACACACGTGAGGTAAGGTGTTCGGAATAACAGGGGATCACTATGTATGCGTGTAATACTCACGATGTAAGCATGTAGATGTTATTAACGAGGGTTCGCTTTATATGAGCAAGTAATTTTTGCAGCAACGAGGTGTCCGTGGTAAAAGGGGTTCACTATGTGTAAGCAGCATGCGAAATGTTATCCTGTTTAACGAGGCCTTACTATATCTATCCTCAACACAATGGTTATACATCACAGCTGTGTCCGGTTTAACGAGGCCTTACTATATATATCCTCAACACACGCGTTACATCACAGCTGTGTCCGGTTTAACGAGGCCTTACTATATATATCCTCAACACACGCGTTACATCACAGCTGTGTCCGGTTTAACGAGGCCTTACTATATATATCCTCAACACACGAGTTATACATCACAGCTGTGTCCGGTTTAACGAGGCCTTACTATATATATCCTCAACACACGAGTTACATCACAGCTGTGTCCGGTTTAACGAGGCCTTACTATATATATCCTCAACACACGAGTTACAGCACGAGGCCTTTACTATATATATCCCCAACACACGAGTGTCCGGTTTAACGAGGCCTTACTATATATATCCCCAACACACGCGTTACATCACAGCTGTGTCCGGTTTAACGAGGCCTTACTATATATATCCCCAACACACGAGTTACATCACAGCTGTGTCCGGTTTAACGAGGCCTTACTATATATATCCCCAACACACGAGTTACATCACAGCTGTGTCCGGTTTACATCACAGCTGCTGTCCGGTTTAACGAGCTGTGTCCTTACTATATATATATCCCCCAACTCATGAGGCCTTACTACATCACAGCTGTGTCCGGTTTAACGAGGCCTTACTATATATATCCAACAATGCGTTACACACACGAGAAGCCTTACTATATATATCCTCAACACAAGAGTTATTAAGAACGCCATAGTGACAATATAGCCACAGATATTGCAACAATACCAGTGGGTATTTCCATGATGGGGCAACTTGACGACAAACTGGGCGCCACATCACCTATCATTCGGAATAAAATAACATTTAAATAATCTGTAATCTGCGAGCGACGTAAGTATAAGTAAAGTAACTGAATAAAGTTTATTGAAAAAATGATACTTTCATAAAAGTTAAGTGATTATACACTACATACATATTTTCTTTTTCAGAATCCAACACCACTAGTTATGGAGTAGACCCAGCCAGAGCTGAATACAATGGGGAAAAGTAGTTACAGCTTTTCATCTGCGACATAAAAACACTGGTTAATTAACAGCTGTCTGTAGCCAAATATTTGGCTTTGATAAAGCAGACAACAGTCAACACAAATTGCGCTCCTTCGATGTGAGCCTGACAAGTAAGCCATTATTGCAGTCAGTGATCGATAGAATCGATAAGTGTGTTATTGATACACTCTGCTGTATGACGTGTGTCTGAGGGGCATGTGTCGGCATGGGACAGATCAGTGCGGCCCGGGTGACAATGTGCAACTCACGACATGGCATTTGCACATGCATAATACACTACCCCTTCACATACCCAGGGCGGTGGGGTTCAAGCATTCGCTCGTCTCGCAGAATACCCGGGTTTGGTTCACCACATGGGTACAAGGTGCTGATGTCCCCCTCCGTGATATTGTAGGAATATTGCAAAAACCGGCGTAAAACTAAACGATACTCACCCACATACCAAGTTACGTCACACTGTATGGAAAGGTCTATCCCCATTTTACTTGGTAGCAGATTTTCTCGCAACTTCCCCCGTGTCCCCCATCATTCAGCTCTGATTAGTGTGTGTATGTGTCGTTACTCCTATGAGAGCGACAGACCAGTTCATTATAATGTTGAACCTCGTTTATCGGACTGTATCGATGAAACGAGAAAATAATTATGTATTAACATACATTTATCAATAACAAATGTCCGTATTAACGAGTCCTGGGTAAGTAGTAACGTCTCCGTGTTTCATACGATTTAAGCGGTAATTGACCATATAGTAAGGCGTCCGGACTCAGGAGGGTTAACTATACTTTGTAAATACATTGAGGTTAATGAGTTAACACGTTTTCATCCCTAACATAACATAAGGAATCGTTATTAAAATATTTATCATGAGGCAACATTATATATTTTCTCTTCGTCCAATAGATGTTGTAATTGAAAAAACGTCTTGTTCTTATTTCCGCCAACTCGACCACAGCCCTAGCGACTGCTCAGTCTATTGCTTCCTTGACGTATCAGTGCTGGGATGAAGGCCGTAGGTGGAGGACGAGCGAAACTTCACGAGAAGTCTAAACGTTAAGAAATATTAGTTTACACTTCATTTGAGAGAGAGCGATTTATTTGCATATGCATATGTAAGAATTGGAACAATCTTCTTATCAAAAGTATAGAAAGCATCAGAAAACTACATGTTATACCGCCTTATCAATGATTTAACAGGCCAAAGTGCTTTACTAGCTTGTTCAGAGAGGTTTTTACATGCTCTAGTTTTCTCTAGGTTTGTACACTTCATTTACCAAAACACTATCATATGTTAAAGAGTATAATTAACCTTTCCTTTACAGAAGTGTCTAACCTTGTGATAGTAACACCTGATTCAATCTATTTGACATTCATTGTTGCTTTTGCTTGCAGTGCACTCTGTGTTATGGATTCAAAATATGCAAGTTTAACAACAAATAAATTTGCTGTACTGTTTTCTCAAGATTTAAAATGTTTAAGATTCAAACTGACCGATCGACCCAACTTTAGATCAGGATGAATTCGTGAAACAAATGCTATCATGCGCAACGAACGCTGTCTCGCTATAAATAGAAACACGACATCTTGACTATGAATCATGGGAATGCAGGACACGCCCACCACGAAACCTCGAACACACTTTGACCAATAGCAGGCGACAAGTGTTGGCATTCCCAGACTTTCAAGATTTTGCGTGACTGCAGTTGGAAGGACGTTTTATAAAAGGAATGGGCAGAGAGTATAAATACGCCGATCTGGTGCAGTGTTTATTTAAGCTATAATTCGTTCAAGGAGACAAGGCAATGAACAAAAAGCCCGGAACAAGGTAAGTGGAGTGTTCTTGTTTGTTCATGTTGGATATGTTGTTTACAGGTTCGTTGTCACAAATGTACACAAGTACACCTGTAAAGTCTATAATTGCTCAGTCACCGTCATGGGGAATCTTCTGTGGTCAATAATACGGTTTCTTGTGTGTACGTATAGAAGAGGGACATGTTTCTTTCCGACAATGACTGGATGTTGAATTATTGACCGGAGTATTTTAGTATGACGTGAGATTTTAAACCAATTACAGTTTTTATGAAACAACCATATTTCTTAAGCAAATCTTTAAAATAGTATTATATGTTTAGTATTATAGTTTCACGGTAAATTCTAGATTATTGATGTTGCATATGTTATATATGGGATATATATGGCGTTCAGTTTTACTGGACTGTGTGTTCAGTGGTTGCTTTGACAGTTAAAGTGTTTACTTTCTTTCACTAAACCAAGGCTCGATGCTGTCACAGAGTCATCACAGCCCTATACCCCTGCCCGTATAGCCCTACCTCAGGGCCAGGAGTCCCATCTCATAGACCAACGTACTTCGATCACAAGTAGCCTCACCCCACAGCCCCCGGACAGTAGAGCCACCCACAGTCCTAGGCGGTAGAGCCACCCCACAGCCCTCGCTCCTCGCCCGTAGCAATACTACTCAGCCCAATTCTCAGAAATACTACTACCCGGTCGCCCCGCCTTCATAGCCCTTACTGAAAAGCCCATTTCTGGTGTCCACTGCCGTGATATTGCTGGAATATTGATAAAAGCGGCGCAAAACTAAACTTCACCCACTCATAGCGCTCACCCCCACCCCGCCAGGACGAAGGCGAACATGTGCATATGTATAATTTATAATCTTCACCCACAATGATGCTGAAACATGTTTACATTAACACTATACAACTGGATCAGTTGGCACCGGGCTGTCATTCTCAGCTCCATGGGGATTATGCGATCCAACCTGACTCTTACGCTCTAGAAGATTAATACTCACATTATCTGATTATGAAGTATAAACTGTATGTTGTTTGTTTGTTACAGTATGAGCAAAATAACCGACATCCTGGAGCCTCTGAAGACATTTGGTTGGGATACCTATGTGAAAACAACAGATAAAGATAAACAAATAGACTTCGATGACGCCGACCTCGAGGTCCTCTTGGATGAGATCACATGTACAACCAGCGATCTGGAATACCCCCCCATTAAGAGCCAAATTGGACCTCGGGAGTCTTCCACCCAAATCGTGTTCAACTCTAACTATGACAACCGAATGAAGCATGACCAACAGCATAGGTTCACTGCCCAGAAGGTCACGCATGCAACTGCTGAAGTACAGTTAAAGGAGGGATTCACCAGCGGCGATGACGTCGGATTCAGCATCGACATTCCAGAACCAGTCCGTAAAGCAACCGCCGGTTTTGGACGCCAAATGGTCATCCGGTCTAAGACCACCCACACCGTGCAGAATGAGCTGGCTTGGTCTATCGACACCAATGTGCTGGCCCCAAAGAGGCTAGAACCATAGCGAGGCTGGAGGTCAAGGAGGAGACATTTGAAAGTGACTTCGAGGTGAAGGTCACTTTGACAGGAAAAGTAAAGATCAGAATCTCAAGAGATGGCGAGTTTGTAAAGATGGTCCAAAACAAAATTGGCACCATTCTCGGCGACCGTTTACCTTCCAAGGACAAGTCTTACTCAGTCATTGACAAGAACTCGGTTACTTGGCAGGTGAAGGGGCACGTTTGTTTCAACTATGGGGTCTCACAAAATGTGGATGTGTCCAAGACGAAACTCCCCAAAGTAGAACCAGTAACTGACTGTTCCAGTGGCGCATATATTGCGCCGTCTGACATTTGAGACCACCGAGACCGGTTACACAGTATACAGCTGTCACATGTATTTCTCACTTACTTCTAATTACTCTTATTGTGCTGTTGTCCCATGTTCTCTGTTCAAGAGAGCTTGAATTAATCTTTTCATAAAGCTAAAATAAACTCGTTTAATTCACATCTTCAGTTTTCGTTATGCTTGTATTCCAGTGACGTGACGCTTGTTGAAGTAATGGCAGGGGTACATGCATACTCATGGCAGTCAATCGAAATACCTGATACACCGGAACCATAACCAGGGATTCGAACACACAATCTGGTAACACAATAGATTGGCGAATGTTCTGTAGAACGGGTGTACATCAGATGCAGTATGGTTATCTGTATACTGTGGAAGGACATCCAGAGTGATGCTTGTCCGGAGCATCAAATATTCTGATTGGCGCCTTGGATATAATACATAACGGACAACACATTAAGGGGTAGGGGTACGGATGTGATACATAACGTACAACACATTAAGGGTAGGGCTACGGATATGGTATATAACGTACAACACATTAAGGGGTAGGGCTACGGATATGCTACATAACGTACAACACATTAAGGGGTAGGGCTACGGATATGATACATAACGTACAACACATTAAGGGGTAGGGCTACGGATATGCTACATAACGTACAACACATTAAGGGCTAGGGGTACGGATGTACATAACGTATACATAACATACAACACATTAAGGGCTAGGGCTATGGTATATAATACAACACATTACATAACGGATATGGTACACATACAACACATTAAGGGCTAGGGCTACGGATATGATACATAACGTACAACACATTAAGGGGTAGGGCTACGGATATGCTACATAACGTACAACACATTAAGGGGTAGGGCTACGGATATGCTACATAACGTACAACACATTAAGGGTAGGGCTACGGATATGGTATACATAACGCACAACACATTAAGGGGTAGGGCTACGGGGCTATGATATGGTACATAACGTACAACACATTAAGGGTAGGGCTACGGATATGGTACATAACGTACAACACATTAAGGGGTAGGGCTACGGATATGCTACATAACGTACAACACATTAAGGGGTAGGGCTACGGATATGGTACATAACGTACAACACATTAAGGGGTGGGGCTACGGATATGGTATATAACGTACAACACATTAAGGGGTAGGGCTACGGATATGGTATATAACGTACAACACATTAAGGGTAGGGCTACGGATATGGTACATAACGTACAACACAATCGACAGATATGTTTTGGCAGTGTGATATTTTTTGTCATCTTGAGTAGTAGTTTGGAATGTACATTTGTTCATTGAAAATTTACATTTGAATAAACTGTAGAAATCATCTCCAATGTCATAACTGTCACACAATTTGCATAAACGTTCATTCAACGGAGTTCTCTCTACCCCCATTGTGACATTGTAACACCGATATTGAGTGAGTGGTGTGAAAGCGACAGCCGAGGAACAAAATGGTGTTAGAAGAAACGAAGCTGTTTGGCCCACGAAATAGCATTCGTGCAAAAATTAAAAACAGAAAAAAATCCGAGTTATCAATACTTTGCTGTTCCATGGATATGAAAAGGGTTTTGAAAATGTAAACAAAGACTAGTAGGGTTTAAACAAATTAAAATGGCATCAATGGAAACATGTTTGAAGCTGTTAAACTTTACAGCAATGTTGCTTCGAATCAGCGCTATACACTGTACCTGCGGAGTCAGTGAGAGTCAGTGATGTGCTATATTTAGACCTGTGCCACAGCCTTATAGCCATCTGCAGTGATCCTGAGAATACTGAAGAATTTTCGAGGCTTTTTGCATATAAACGGAGCAGCAGTTGTCTCTCATCTCACATTACGTCTCGTGTCGCAGGGAGACCAGCTTTGTGTGTGATCATGTCACAATCTGGATACACTCTTCCTAGCCCTAGTTACAAGTTTCTAGGTGCTGAATATTGTCATCATTGTTTATTATGTTATAACAACTATTCTTGTATTATAGACAATTTGTATTGCCACTCTGTTTTGTACCGCCATAGTGAAACCTTTGTACTGAATGTGTACTGATTTGTGAAACTCAGTCCACTTTAGACTACAGTTGTTAATTACATCACATTTCCTGGTTGTCTGCTGGTGTCATACCCAGTTCTTTTACTGACCGACTCCTGGTTAACGTTTGTGTTTCAACTCGTGGATGACCGTACAGTGAGCAGTTAGCGACCAGTTGAAACACAGTGACGACATGCTCACCACACACGGACACAACGACCACTCAGGCGGTGAGGTAGCCTAGTGGTTAAAGCGTTCGCTCGCCTCGATAAAGACACGGATTCGATTCCCCACATGAGTACAATGTGCGAAGCCCATTTCTGGTGTCCCCGCCGTAATATTGCCGGAATATTGCTAAAGGCGGCGTAAAACTAAACTCTTTCACTAGTGACCACAAAGGGACAAAATAGAGTGAGTGAGTGAGTTTAATTTTACGCTGCACTCAGCGATGTTCCACCTATATGGCGGCGGTCTGTAAATAATTGATCAACAGCTTGAACATCGATCTGCAATTGAGATGCGATGCAGCAACGAGGTGTCCGTGGTAAAAGGGGTTCACTATGTGTAAGCAGCATGCGAAATGTTGTCCGGTTTAACGAGGCCATACTATATTTATCCTCAACACACGAGTTATACATCACAGCTGTGTCCGGTTTAACGAGACCTTACTATATATATCCTCAACACACGAGTTACATCACAGCTGTGTCCGGTTTAACGAGGCCTTACTATATATATCCTCAACACACGAGTTACATCACAGCTGTGTCCGGTTTAACGAGGCCTTACCCCAACACACGATACATCACATCCCGGTTTAACACCTTACTATATATATAACACACGAGTTACATCACAGCTGTGTCCGGTTTAACGAGGCCTTACAGTATATATCCCCAACACACGAGTAACATCACAGATGTGTCCGTTTTTTTGTATGTGTACCAAATGTAATGTGAAGACAGAGGTGTCACTACCTAAATTGATGAATTGATTTCTTTTCACTGTGTAATAAAACTTCCTAACAATGCCTTATCCCGGACGATAGACTGGGACACACACGAGTTATTAAGACGCCATAGTGACATCATAGCCACTATTGCAACAATACCAGTGGGCATTTCCGTGATGGGGCAACTAGACGACAAACTGGGCGCCATGTCACCTGTCATGCGGAATAAAATAACATTTATATACTCTGTAATCTGCGAGCCACGTAAGTATAAGTAAAGTAGCTGAATAAAGTTTATTGAAAAAATGATATTTTCATAAAAGTTAAGTGATTATACACTACACTAGTTACGGAGTAGACCCAGCCAGAGCTGAATACAATGGGGAAAAGTGGTTACAGAATTTGATCTGCGGCATAAAAACACTGGTTAATTAACAGCTGTCTGTAGCCAAATATTTGGCTTTGGTAAAGCAGACAGCAGTCAACACAAATGGCGCTTCTTCGATGTGAACCTGACAAGTAAGCCATTATTGCACCAGTCAGTGATCGATAGAATCGATAGTGTTCACAGTGTTCATGTCTCGCCACTGTCCCAGTGGTATGGAAAGACCAACCACATTAATATCTATATTTTCACAATGACAATGCCGCGATCGATGAGTGAGTGAGTGAGTGAGTTTAGTTTTACGCCGCACTCAGCAATATCCCAGCCATATGGCGGCGGTCTGCAAATAATCGAGTCTGGACCAGACAATCCAGTGATCAACAGCATGAGCATCGATCTGCGCAATTGGGAACCGATGACATGTGTCAACCAAGTCAGCGAAACTGACCACCCGATCCCGTTAGTCGCCTCTTACGACAAGCATAGTCGCCTTTTATGGCAAGCACATGGGTTGCTGAAGACCTATTCTACCCCGGATCTTCACGGGTCGCCGCGATCGATGACTAAAACCAGAATGATTAGTGTGTGTATGAGAGCAACAGACCAATTCATTGTAATGTTGAACCTCGTTTATCTGGACTGTATCGATGAAACAAAACGATTGTTTAAGCTGTAATCGCCCATATAGTAAGATGTCCGGTATCAGGAGGTCCGCAATCATTGTACAATACATGGAGGTTAATGAGTTAACAACCTTTCATGCCTAACATAACACTGACATCGTTATTAAAATGTTTATCTTGAATGGTTGCTAAAGCAATATTTTATATTTTCTCATCGCCTGATCGAGTGTAATTGGTTTGATGACTCGAAAATTATAACACCTTTTGTTCATACTTCCGCCAACCCGAACTCATGTCCTACCGTCTGGTTATTCAGCTGGTGCCTTCCTGCTTTAGTACTGGGATGAAGGCTGTAGATCGACGACGAGGGAAACTTCACAAGAAGACTAAACATTAAGAAATATATTTGTTTACATTTCATTTACCAATACACTATCATGTGTTAAAGTGTAAAGAAAGTTTATATTGCCGACGTGTCCAACTTGGCGATAGTAACAAGTGATTCAATGTATTATGATATTCATTGTTGTTTTTGCTTACTGTGCAGTCTGTGTTACGGTTTCAAAATCTGCTTTGACAACAAATGAATTTGCTGTATATATTCCTTATTCCCGAATGCTAAAGAAAACTGATAAAGATATGTAGATGTAACTACACTACGATGTAGATAGTAATAATTCAAGATTTAAAAAGTTCTTTATTCAAACTGACCGACCCAACCTTTTAGATCATGATGGCTTCATGAAACAAATGAAAAATGCTATCCTTATCGTAAGAAGAATCGGACAGCTGTTCTGTGCCAAGACGTGAATCCAGAACCACCGGGTACATTGCCGTGTGTTGTCCAGTCTAAGTAGCCTTGCTTAGGCTCAGTATTATTCGTTACTGCGAATTATTACGAATAATACTGACCCTATGTGTAAGACTTGGGTAATTGCTGTGGTTGCGTAACAATTACGTCTCACGGTAAAAGGGATGGGCAAGTGTGTCTATTGCGCGAAGTGCTCCAGTCAAAGATGACACAACACAAAAAGACAGTAATAATATGTATTAAAATAAAAGGTCTTGGTTACAGGGTTGCAAATTCCGACTGCACAGTCCAGGTGAAACCTAAAAAACAAGTT